TTCTTAATGAGTAATACGCTTGTTCCAGTGAGAGGGGGAATGCGTGTGTGGATGTTGTGGGGGTGTTTCTGTGACTAGGACTAGATGCCATGTAGTGACTTACATGTTAACAATCTCACAGAAGATGGTCAGAGGTTAATGGTTACAACTGCCATCTCATTTATTTTGGAAATGAAAAATAGAAGCGATTAACTTAAACAAAATTTATAAATTATTTCATCTGAAATTCATAATTTATTTTATCAGAAATTCTAATGTTATTTTTAAAAAAAAAATTAAATATGCCAATATTCAAAACAGGGAAAGTCATGTTTGATAAGAAAGTTAGTATGTGTATACAATATTGGTATTCCGTGTTATGACTCACCATGGTTGTAAGGGGTATTTTTTTACTTTTTTTTAAATGCATTCCATAACTCATTATTTCAGTGAGTCGTACAGCCAACAGAAATTTGTCAAATTCCTTTGATGTCTATGTGCATACTATGCTGAGGAACAGTCAGTGAGTCATGGAGAGTTGGGATTTACATGGCCTAACTGTTGCACATTCTTGTGGCTTAGGTCAGCGAAACAGTTTCAGGAACCTTTGCTGTTAGTAATATGTCTAAAGATTCTCATAAGCCCACTCGTCAATACTTCATCAACATGGCCTGAATTCTCAGCCACTGAGGCCTCCCATGAAGTTGGACGAGATCATTCTAAATGTCAGTTCACATTTATTCGGCTCGAGAGCGACCTTGCGTGAACACGTTGGATGTAGTCGAGCTGTCTCCGTATAAACTTCTTCAATTAATCAAGTTGGAATTACAGGCTTATCTCCCCTGACCGAGAAATTGCCTTCTCACAGTGCTGTGTGCACTTGTAGTGTTTACATGGATGGGTACTGGATCGGACCTCAGGAACTGAGCTGAGATTTGGAATGTATGTGTTAATTATATTCAACCATGATTGAAGGCATTAGATTTCGTCATGTGTCAAAAATATTCCTGTTTCTATCTTCTCTGTCACAACAGCGCTCAGCGGATAATTCAAAGTCCTCAGACGAGATCATCGTGTAAGTCTGCATCAATGTTCCTATGTTCAGAGTCTAGCAGGTGTCAAGATATTTGTTACATGTTAAATGGAAAATTATCCAAAAGATAAAATATTGCAATTATTAGGGAAGCCTTTGATTATAATGTTCGTCTTTCATGTTTGTGGTTTTTACAAGGATCTCTGTTGTTTATCATAATGTCGTTAGATGAGTTGAATTATTGTTAAAGTACTTGTAAACTTCATCTTCACATTATGACTCACAGATTCCAATTTGGTGCCACCAGAAAAACCTGATGTAGCAGTTTAGCCGCTAGATTGAGTCCTGAGTCTTGTCAATTCATGTTGGTCTAAATCATCATGCTAATAGGTCAGGTTTCACAATCCGAATCTACTGAAATTAAGGAATGAGATGTTTGGGGAAGAGTTTGAGGCATTTGTGGCACAGACTGGATACCATTAATTCACCTGATACTAATGTTTTATTGTAGTTAGGTTTGTCCCAAGATTACCATTTGCAGAACCGGTTCTTATTGACAGGGGGCAGTCTGGTAGCCTGGTGGTTAAAGCTTTAGCTCATCACGCCGAAGTCCCGGGTTCAATTCCCGACATGGGTACAATGTTTGAAGCCCATTTCTGGTGTCCCCCGCCGTGATATTGCTGGAATATTGCTAAAAGCGGCGTAAAACCAAACTCACTCACTCATTTAATTGACAGGGGCTGCCCCTGTTCATGATGGCTACAAGCAGTTGACGAAAACTGGCATGAAATTGTTTTTTGTATTTTCGAATGAATGAATGAATTCACGAAAATCACATTTGTCTTTCATAACTATTTATGTTTATGGCTGAAATTGTCGTGTGCTATAGTGCGATGCTTACGCTTGGACATACATAGGATTACTTGAATAGTTTAGAGAAACATACAATTATGGTGCTTTGGTTGTCAAGGACTGTGCCATCCTTATCAAGCATGTAGAGTGGGAGGAATTCGGAGATAGTAGCTGGTATGTGACAAGCAGAGGGGTATTCACCTGTGAGACGCCTCGTTGATGCTTAGTCATGCAGAACTGATATTATCTTAATCGGGAAATAATGAATGTTATCCTGTAAACTGTGTCGTCTTGTTATGTCTAAATCTCAAATTCTAAGCCTCTTTAGAAGTTCTCCACATCTTGAGAAATGTTGTCATGCAAGTTTTTTGTGTAGAATAACCTGTTTTTGTTGTTGAAAATGAAAAACACTTGCGATATTATAAGAGAGCTTGAGCACTTAAGAAAACTATGTTTTGGGATATATCAATTCACTTGTGACCGATTAACTATCTAAAATGATTCATTATCTGATACAAAATTATAAAAGAATAAGAATTTCTGGAAGATTTAAATCCCTTGTTGGTTATTATTCATTGTAAATATTTGTATTAGTCGTGAAAAATGTTAGTAAGATTATGAAAGTAAAATCCTTTCTGGGATATTTAATTTTCACTTATTTTGGAATTGTTAGTTTAATTTATCAATAATGAATAAGCTATGTCTGAGGGTTTTGTTTTTTTTCAAAATATAACACTTCACGAACAAAGATGTATTTATCTGCCTTGGTGGTTTTCCATAATAAATCTTATCTCGAAACCACTTTCAAAATTAATGATCATCACAAATTAATAATGAATCCATTCTATACTCAGTCTGATTATCCAAAGCCTTTCAATTTTGTATAATTTGATTTATTAATCATTGAATCTTTGAAATTCCTGCAATTTGATATGTTCTTTAACTGTTTTTCCTCAGCTATCCCTGAATTTCATATCAAGGATATTGTGAAAACTGATTTCATTGATTGGATTTGTCGAGTTTTCAGCTATTCGGAATTAATTCATCTCATGTTGGTATGGAGATGATTAATAAAAATCTTAAATTCCCAACATGGTTTCCAAGCTTCATGGTGTTGACCTGTGGTTGTTGAAGCATGCATGCTGGGACTTCATTGGTGATATAACTGGCTTTGCCATCAGGGCTGCAGAGAACAGCCGATGTCATTCTGAATCAATATTTCCCATTGGGAGATGATATCTTACACTTCCAAACTAGACTTGCTTTAGACTTGAAAATGTTTGGGATGTAATTCAAGGCAATAAGATAATGCTAACCACAAGTCGCTTTCAGTTGGTGTGGCAAGGTTGTTAGACGTTCTAATCTGGTGAGAAATATGGCTACGTTTGTGAGGTATTCAAATTAAGAAGGAGAGGCAAGGGTCCTTGTCATGTCCTTAGGGTCCTTGTCATGTTCTTAGGGTCCTTGCCATGTCCACAGGGTCCTTGTCATGTCCTTAGGGTCCTTGTCATGTCCTTAGGGTCCTTGTCATGTTCTTAGGGTCCTTGTCATGTCCTTAGGGTCCTTGTCATGTCCTCAGGGTCCTTGTCATGTCCTTAGGGTCCTTGTCATGTCCTTAGGGTCCTTGTCATGTTCTTAGGGTCCTTGTCATGTCCTTAGGGTCCTTGTCATGTCCTCAGGGTCCTTGTCATGTTCTTAGGGTCATTGTCATGTTCTTAGGGTCCTTGTCATGTCCTTAGGGTCCTTGTCTTGTCCTCAGGGTCCTTGTCATGTTCTTAGGGTCCTTGCCATGTTCTTAGGGTCCTTGTCATGTCCTCAGGGTCCTTGTCATGTTCTTAGGGTCCTTGTCATGTTCTTAGGGTTCTTGTCATGTCCTCAGGGTCCTTGTCATGTCCTTAGGGTCCTTGTCATGTTCTTAGGGTTCTTGTCATGTCCTTAGGGTCCTTGTCATGTCCTTTGGATACTTGTCCCTTGCAGCAGGCCGTGACCTCCTTCACTTGGGGAATTGTTGCACCTCCTTCATGACATTCTCTAATGCTGAAATGTGCACCCATGTGTTTTATGTAATACAGGAAAAAACGTGCGAGATTCTTCAAGGGTGAATGCATATTAATTCTTATTTCTCTGACTGATGAGAATAATGGCAGCGGTGACTGAGTATAGTTTTATAATGTACTTTATGTTGCTATGGAATCTACCTATATGATGGTTTCCATGGAAACAGGTGTATATTATGGTGAATATTCTTTATTGATAAATAGATATTATGTATGTGCTGTGTAGATGTTGAGCATAACATATTTGTGTTGACAACTGGTAGAAGTAGTTTTAAACCTTGCATGGCGGTTTTCCATCTAGTTCAGGGGGTTACTGGTGGCCTGCTCATCTAAGCTGCCCCAATATGCTGTAAAGAGTTGCCTCCCTTTGGCATGTCAGGAACCTGTGATCATAACTGAATTACTGTTCAAAGCAGCATAAAAACAACTCGCTCTAACTTTCATTTATTTTAATTCTAAATCATCTTTCAGGGTGGACAAACATGAATACATTATTTTACCTGTGACAGGTTGCTACTTATCTTTCATAGTTCTGTCCCTGCAAAGACTGATATGTTTTAGGGGCGGTCGGGTAGCCTAGAGGTTAAAGCGTTCGCTCGTCACGCTGAAGACATGGGTACAATGTGTGAAGCCCATTTCTGGTGTCCCCCGCCATGATATTGCTGGAATATTGCTAAAAGCGACGTAAAACCTTACTCACTCACTCACTGATATGTTTTATAACATCTAATATGTTCTGCATCATCTCTGTAAAGGTTAAGCAAAATTTCATAATTTAGTATAAGTATCTTGTATATGATTTTTTCAAGTGTTCAGTTGAACTCTGGTGGCTCAGTGCTCCTAGAGTTGTGTCCCTTAGCAACCAGGATCCACTTGTCCAGAGTTTGAATCCCAGATGCCCCGTGAATCTTTTCCTTTCCAGGTGGGTTTCACCGGATGTAGCAAACGTCTATGAATGTGACACTTTAGCCCTTCCTTGCACATTATGAATGACAACGTGTACACTTGAGACTTGACTTTACTGTAAAACTGTTAGAGGAGAGTCATCACTCATTAGTTTGTACCTGTCTCTGTTGCAGATTCAGCCCAACTTGTATCCTGGACACTGATGGTCAGGTGACCTGCAACGCCTGCCCAGCTGGACACACCGGCCGCAGATGTGAAATGTGAGTCAGGACGGAGTTAGTTCTAGTATTGCACTACTGAAACAATGAGTTATCTACAGTTATCTGTATGAATCCAGACTGCTTTGGAAGTACTTCTCTACTTATGGGGAGGTCTATATACAAGTATACACAGAGGGACGTATGTGGGTCAGGATGGACCTGGTGGTGTCATTGAAATACTGAAACAATGAGTTATCTACTGTTATCCAGACTGTTTTGGAAGTATTTCTCTACTGTTGGGGAGGTCTATATACAAGAATACACAGAGGGACGTATGTGGGTCAGGATGGACCTGGTGGTGTCATTGAAATACTGAAACAATAAGTTATCTACTGTTATCCAGACTGTTTTGGAAGTATTTCTCTACTGTTGGGGAGGTCTATATACAAGTATACACAGAGGGACGTATGTGGGTCAGGATGGACCTGGTGGTGTCATTGAAATACTGAAACAATGAGTTATCTACTGTTATCCAGACTGTTTTGGAAGTATTTCTCTCCTGTTGGGGAGGTCTATATACAAGAATACACAGAGGGACGTATGTGGGTCAGGATGGACCTGGTGGTGTCATTGAAATACTGAAACAATGAGTTATCTACTGTTATCCAGACTGTTTTGGAAGTATTTCTCTACTGTTGGGGAGGTCTATATACAAGTATACACAGAGGGACGTATGTGGGTCAGGATGGACCTGGTGGTGTCATTGAAATACTGAAACAATGAGTTATCTACTGTTATCCAGACTGTTTTGGAAGTATTTCTCTCCTGTTGGGGAGGTCTATATACAAGAATACACAGAGGGACGTATGTGGGTCAGGATGGACCTGGTGGTGTCATTGAAATACTGAAACAATGAGTTATCTACTGTTATCCAGACTGTTTTGGAAGTATTTCTCTACTGTTGGGGAGGTCTATATACAAGTATACACAGAGGGACGTATGTGGGTCAGGATGGACCTGGTGGTGTCATTGAAATACTGAAACAATGAGTTATCTACTGTTATCCAGACTGTTTTGGAAGTATTTCTCTACTGTTGGGGAGGTCTATATACAAGTATACACAGAGGGACGTATTGGGTCAGGATGGACCTGGTGGTGTCATTGAAATACTGAAACAATGAGTTATCTACTGTTATCCAGACTGTTTTGGAAGTATTTCTCTCCTGTTGGGGAGGTCTATATACAAGAATACACAGAGGGACGTATGTGGGTCAGGATGGACCTGGTGGTGTCATTGAAATACTGAAACAATGAGTTATCTACTGTTATCCAGACTGTTTTGGAAGTATTTCTCTACTGTTGGGGAGGTCTATATACAAGTATACACAGAGGGACGTATGTGGGTCAGGATGGACCTGGTGGTGTCATTGAAATACTGAAACAATGAGTTATCTACTGTTATCCAGACTGTTTTGGAAGTATTTCTCTCCTGTTGGGGAGGTCTATATACAAGAATACACAGAGGGACGTATGTGGGTCAGGATGGACCTGGTGGTGTCATTGAAATACTGAAACAATGAGTTATCTACTGTTATCCAGACTGTTTTGGAAGTATTTCTCTACTGTTGGGGAGGTCTATATACAAGTATACACAGAGGGACGTATGTGGGTCAGGATGGACCTGGTGGTGTCATTGAAATACTGAAACAATGAGTTATCTACTGTTATCCAGACTGTTTTGGAAGTATTTCTCTACTGTTGGGGAGGTCTATATACAAGTATACACAGAGGGACGTATGTGGGTCAGGATGGACCTGGTGGTGTCATTGAAATACTGAAACAATGAGTTATCTACTGTTATCCAGACTGTTTTGGAAGTATTTCTCTACTGTTGGGGAGGTCTATATACAAGTATACACAGAGGGACGTATGTGGGTCAGGATGGACCTGGTGGTGTCATTGAAATACTGAAACAATGAGTTATCTACTGTTATCCAGACTGTTTTGGAAGTATTTCTCTACTGTTGGGGAGGTCTATATACAAGTATACACAGAGGGACGTATGTGGGTCAGGATGGACCTGGTGGTGTCATTGAAATACTGAAACAATGAGTTATCTACTGTTATCCAGACTGTTTTGGAAGTATTTCTCTACTGTTGGGGAGGTCTATATACAAGTATACACAGAGGGACGTATGTGGGTCAGGATGGACCTGGTGGTGTCATTGAAATACTGAAACAATGAGTTATCTACAGTGATCTGTATGAATCCAGACTGCTTTGGAAGTATTTCTCTACTGTTGGGGAGGTCTATATACAAGTATACACAGAGGACATATGTGGGTCGGGATGGACACGACCTGGCTGGCAGAAACACTGACTTTATCGCGTCCACCTGGGATCTCCTATTGTATTACTTTGGCCTTGATCAGTGGCAATGTTTATTTCATTTAGTTTCTTTGTAACATTCTTTACACTTTGAGTGAACTCTGTGACCTATTGACATCTGAAGTCAACCTTACAATCTGACTGGATACATGACACATTTTTATGGCTCGCAACTTTTATTCTTTGCACGATTTTTCAGAGCTACTTCTTGCTCCTTCATCAGGTGAATGCATGAAGGCGAAGATGTAGCTCTGAAACGTGACGTGCATTCTCCTGACGAAGGAGCAAGAAGTAGCTCTGAAGTGTCACGTGCATTCTCCTGACGAAGGAGCAAGAAGTAGCTCTGAAGTGTCACGTGCATTCTCCTGATGAAGGAGCAAGACGTAGCTCTGAAACATCACGTGCATTCTCCTGACGAAGGAGCATGAGGTAGCCTTGAAATGTCACGTGCATTCTCCTGACGAAGGAGCAAGAAGTAGCTCTGAATCATCACATGCATTCTCCTGACGAAGGAGCAAGAAGTAGCTCTGAAAGGTCACATGCGTTCTCCTGACGAAGACACAAGAAGTAGCCTTGAAACGTCACGTGCATTCTCCTGACGAAGGAGCAAGAAGTAGCTCTGAATCATCACATGCATTCTCCTGACGAAGGAGCAAGAAGTAGCTCTGAAACGTCACATGCATACTCCTGACGAAGGCACAAGAAGTAGCTCTGAATCATCACATGCATTCTCCTGACGAAGGAGCAAGAAGTAGCTCTGAATCATCACGTGCATACTCCTGACGAAGGCACAAGAAGTAGCTCTGAAAGGTCACATGCATTCTCCTGACGAAGGCACAAGAAGTAGCTCTGAAACGTCACATGCCTTTTCCTGACGAAGGAGCAAGAAGTAGCTCTGAAACGTCACATGCATTCTCCTGACGAAGGCACAAGAAGTAGCTCTGAAACATCTCATGCATTCTCCTGACGAAGGAGCAAGAAGTAGCTCTGAAGTGTCACGTTTATTCTCCTGACAAAGGAGCATGAAGTAGCTCTGAAGTGTCACGTGCATACTCCTGATGAAGGAGCAAGAAGTAGCTCTGAAGTGTCACGTGCATTCTCCTGACGAAGGAGCAAGAAGTAGCTCTGAAACGTCACGTGCATTCTCCTGACGAAGGAGCAAAAAGGAGCTCTGAAACGTCACGTTTATTCTCCTGACAAAGGAGCATGAAGTAGCTCTGAAACGTCATACAAAGAGTAAAAGAAGTTACTATCCATAAAAATGTGTCATGTATTCATGTTCTCCTAACTTCTAAATGCCTATCAAAGACTTTAATCTGACTGAACTGAAGTCTGTCGCTAGCTAGAGTAGAGCTGCCATTAGTTAGCTTATACCTGTTGTCAGTGAACTTGACTATTCAGTTCAACTGTAGTTGTAGATAAAAAAAAAAGTACTATTGGGTATGTATGTGTCCCTTCTGTGGGCTTACATCTGATGACTTGATGCTTGGAATCAGTAGTCAAAGTCCTAAATGGTGTAAGGTCACTCACCCTTTTCCTTGGTTATGTGCCCCTGATGACCTTGCCCTTGTTTCAGATGTCTGCCTGGATACACCGGCAACCCATTGCAGCCTGGAGACTACTGTCAACTCAGAGGTAAGTCAATCCAGTTGACTTGAAACGGACTTGTTATCACTTCCATAACACAACTTACGGTAACCATGGCTACTTGCATGTTATTATCCTCTGAATTGTATGATAGGCATCACTTAGAAGTTGACGGATGACAAAGTGGACACAATTTATGAATAAAAATGTCTTTATTTACTGTAAAGGCAACGTTTCGGTATAGACCCTTATACCGTTGTCAAGCAATAGATACGGTAGTTATATCCAAACCGAAACGTTGCCTTTACAGCAAATAAGTAAGTCGTAATCCATAAATTGTGTCTACTTTGTATACCTCTCTGATTAGTGAAAATGGTTATTTACCTGTGATACCTGTCTTTGACTGGTAAAAATGGTTGCTTGCCTGTTAATACCTGTCAGTGAATAATAAGAACAGTTACTTACCTGTGATGCCTGTCTCTGATTGATAAGAGTCGTTACCTGTGCTACCTGTCTGTGATAAGAGTGGTTACCTGTGCTACCTGTCTGTGATAAGAGTGGTTACCTGTGCTACCTGTCTGTGATAAGAGTGGTTACCTGTGCTACCTGTCTGTGATAAGAGTGGTTACCTGTGCTACCTGTCTGTGATAAGAGTGATTACCTGTGCTACCTGTCTGTTATAAGAGTGGTTACCTGTGCTACCTGTCTGTGATAAGAGTGGTTACCTGTGCTACCTGTCTGTGATAAGAGTGGTTACCTGTGCTACCTGTCTGTGATAAGAGTGGTTACCTGTGCTACCTGTCTGTGATAAGAGTGGTTACCTGTGCTACCTGTCTGTGATAAGAGTGGTTACCTGTGCTACCTGTCTGTGATAAGAGTGATTACCTGTGCTACCTGTCTGTTATAAGAGTGGTTACCTGTGCTACCTGTCTGTGATAAGAGTGGTTACCTGTGCTACCTGTCTGTGATAAGAGTGGTTACCTGTGCTACCTGTCTGTGATAAGAGTGGTTACCTGTGCTACCTGTCTGTGATAAGAGTGGTTACCTGTGCTACCTGTCTGTGATAAGAGTGGTTACCTGTGCTACCTGTCTGTGATAAGAGTGATTACCTGTGCTACCTGTCTGTGATAAGAGTGGTTACCTGTGCTACCTGTCTGTGATAAGAGTGGTTACCTGTGCTACCTGTCTGTGATAAGAGTGGTTACCTGTGCTACCTGTCTGTAATAAGACTGGTAACTAGTCTGTGCTACCTGTCTGTGATAAGCGTGGTTACCTGTGCTACCTGTCTGTGATAAGAGTGGTTGCCTGTGCTACCTGTCTGTGATAAGAGTGATTACCTGTGCTACCTGTCTGTGATAAGAGTGATTACCTGTGCTACCTGTCTGTGATAAGAGTGGTAACCTGTGCTACCTGTCTGTGATAAACGTGGTTACCTGTGCTACCTGTCTGTGATAAGAGTGGTAACCTGTGCTACCTGTCTGTGATAAGCGTGGTTACCTGTGCTACCTGTCTGTGATAAGAGTGGTAACCTGTGCTACCTGTCTGTGATAAGCGTGGTTACCTGTGCTACCTGTCTGTGATAAGAGTGGTAACCTGTGCTACCTGTCTGTGATAAGCGTGGTTGCCTGTGCTACCTGCATGTGATAAGAGTGGTTACCTGTGCTACCTGTCTGTGATAAGACTGGTAACTAGTCTGTGCTACCTGTCTGTGATAAGAGTGGTTGCCTGTGCTACCTGTCTGTGATAAGAGTGGTAACATGTGTTTCCTGTCTGTGATTACAGGTGTGGACTGCGAGTGTGACCAGAGAGGAACTATCCCCAACACCCAGTGTGACCCCACCACTGACCAGTGTCAGTGCAAGGTGAGAGGCTTCAGTGACCACACCTGTAGGCCATGCTTCCCCCAGAAGAGGCAGGCCCTTCAATCAATGTAGTGTCCAAACCCAACTGGCAGATGGAGCGGGGTCAAGTAGATGCTGAATCTTTGACAGTCATTTAGACACAAATAGCTGTGTAGAGGTCAATGACTTGGTCCCAAGAATTGCAATCAGTCAATAAGTAAATACACAAATTGGCAGATGAACAATAACAAACAAATGCAATACCATTTGTGATTGAATGAATATATACAATCTGGTAAATGTACGTCACGATATGGTCACTATGGCTCCTGGGGCGGTCGGGTAGCCTAGTGGTTAAAGCGTTCACTCGTCACGCCGAAGACCTGGGTTCGATTCCCGACATAGGTACAATGTGTGAAGCCCATTTCTGGTGTCCCCCGCCGTGATATTGTTGGAATATTGCTAAAAGCGGCATAAAACAATACTCACTCACTCACTCACTCACTCACTCACTCACTCACTCACTCACTCACTCACTCACTCACTCACTCACTATGGCTCCTGACAACATTTCCACAGGACAATAAAAGTATGAAGCAAAATCACACGCTGCTCAGACTTTGTGATGGCTGTGCATTGTTTTATTAACTTGATTCCGTAAGTAGGGCTAATCCTTACTTTTTGCCGTTTAATCATAAAACTATGAAACGTGTGACGCCTTGTTCAGCATTTCTATTGGTTAGAAAGTCTAACTCCTTTAGCAAACCATGTGTTTATTTGAAAATTTGTCGGTCTATGACCGGTGACCGACAGCCCTCTGAAACTCAAATTAACAGCCCGTACAGTTCTACAGTTTTGAGGGACTGCCAGTTGATAACCCTGGGGGTTAAAGAAAAACATCAATTTGACCTCCTGTTTCATGAAAACAACAAAACAATGTTTACTGGACATCCTTGATGTCTTGTCAAATGAGTTGTCAATAAAACTAAAATTGTAAATTGAATTTTTTGAAGCCGTGACCAGACAATTATTCTCCAACAAAAAAGAACAAAAGTTGTATCTGAAAATACAGGAATGTTCAAACTGAGACTGATATTTGAAGACTGAAAAAAGATATTGTCATGAAACGGCCTCAAGGTTGGGATCTTGTAACCACCAGGACATGATATGTGAACAAATCCCTCCACACGTCTATTGTTTCTGTTCCAGGCTTACGTTCAGGGTCAGAAATGCAACACCTGTGTGGCCGGCTACTTCTACCTGGATGAGACCAATTCTCAAGGATGTTTGTCCTGCTTCTGTATGGGCGTCACCAACCAGTGTACCAGCTCCGGGTACTACCGGGATGTGGTGAGTCGATCAATACCTTCAGTACATGGTTTATGTTTAACACCGCTTTGAATAGTGTCCCAGTTATATCACAGTCTGTCAACTTAATGTTGGAGCAAATCCCAAAGTGATGCAGGTCTATGATGTTTACCACTTGGGTGAAATCACATGGGTATGGTGCTGACAAACCTAGAAACATAATAAGTGTGAACAGGATTTCAAACCCACAATCATAGGTTTCTGGCATGTCCAAGGGAGGCAACTCTACACAGTGGATTGTGCCCACCTTAGTAACAGAGAAGTGGTGGTTTGCCTGGTGCTATGTGCTAAATCTGACCTTGCATCAAACAGATCCGACCACAGTTTAACACCGATGGCACCCACAACTTTGGTCTGACGAACCGGCGCCTGAGTCGTATGATCAAGGATGGCTTTGAGGTGGATGCCAGCAGGGATCAGATCACCTTCACCAGCTTTGATGGAATCCAGCGAGAACGGGAGAGCTTGTTCTTCCAGCTGCCTCCCCGTTTCCGTGGCAACAAGGTCAGTATAAATCTATTTTCAAATTTAATTTTCAAGATTTTATGTGTTTGTAAGCCACTAGGTTCGTCTAGTTCATGAAAACCTCGGAACATTTTCCATTTCTGAAGAACAATGAGAAAATTCCAGTTGTTGATGAAAACATGAGGACCTGTCTATTCTATGCATTTGGACTTCACAGAATGCATACAATATTATACATGGCTTCAGGTTGACTTGAATGTGATGGTTCAAGTGGTGCAGTGTTTGTGAGTGAGTGAGTAGGGTTTAACGCCGCTTTTAACAGTATTCCAGTTATGTGGGAGGAAAGCCCGAGGTGATGCAGGTCTCAGATGTTTAACACTTCGGTGAAACCCACGAGCACGGGTATGGTGCTGACAAACCTAGTAACATAATCAGTGGGAACCGGGATTCGAACCCACAATCATAGGTTTCTGGCGTGCCCAAGGGACACAACTCTGCACAGTAAATCGTGGTGCTTAAGACGACTGGCCCCCCGTGCCCCCCAGTGTTTGTGAAACTGATAGGGCAGGTATCACCTATTTCGGGCCAGGAGGCTTTTTTCCATTGGTCATTGATGAGGTCCTCCTTGCAAGCACCTGTTGATGGTTGAGAATAATCGTCATGTCATCCTGAATTCTGGTTTACTGGTTTGATGTATATGTATCCATTGCCCCTGCTTCTCAAGGTCATGGGAGCGCATAGTTCTATTAAACTGGCGTTAGTCTGGACGAGTACAAGCAGCCCCACATATGCACGTTGCTGTATGAGTGCAATAATCTTGAAGCAATGTGAAACCCCATTTCACCTGATGTTGATGTGTACAAGTTGTACAATGTTGTACTTGCAGGTCTCATCCTATGGCGGAATGCTCCGCTTCACTATGGAGTATACTATTGATGTGTACAAGTTGTACAATGTTGTACTTGCAGGTCTCATCCTATGGCGGTATGCTCCGCTTCACTATGGAGTATACTATTGATGTGTACAAGTTGTACAATGTTGTACTTGCAGGTCTCATCCTATGGCGGTATGCTCCGCTTCACCCTGGAGTACACTGTGGCCTATGACTCTGGACAAACATACATGGATGTCGACATTGAAATCATCGTAAGTTTCTCATATGTCTGTCCAGTGTTAGAAACTAAACAACATTCAATGTTCAATTTGAAACATGCATGGAAATGCCTAGCTGTAACAAGTAAGTACATATCATTCAGGATTGTTCAACATGGACAGTTTGTTTGTTTGTTTGTTTGTTGTTTAACGCCACACTCAGCAATATTCCAGCTATATGACAGCGGTCTGTAAATAATTGAGTCTGGACCAGACAATCCAGTGATTGACATCATGAGCATTGATCCACTCGACTTTGATACGATGAAATTCATAACCAAGTCAGCGAGTCTTACCACACAATGCCATTAGTCACTTCTTACTAACAACCATGGGTTGCTAACCCAGATCTTCATGGGGGTATCACAAGTGTTTAAATGATCAAATGATCCACATGAACTGTGAGGACATCAAATTGTAAACTTTATTTTTTTCCTGTGATTAATTACCACATATTTCAGAGGATTTACATCACCCTAAGGTGTTTCAAGTTTCAGCAAGACATAAAAACTGTTAAATTTCATTTGCATGATGTGTATTGAACCTGTGTTTATGTTTTGTATTCAAATTGCTTCGTTGGCACCTGTAAAGATCCGGGGTACAATAGGTCTTCAAACACCCATGCTTGTCGTAAAAGGCAACTATGCTTGTCATAAGAGGTGACTAACTGAATCAGGTGGTCAGGTTGATGAATGTCATCGTATCCCAATTTTGTAGATCAATGCTCATGATGTCAATCACTGGATTGTCTGGTCCAAACTCGATTATTTACAGACCGCTGTCATAAAGCTGGTATATTGCTGCTGAGTGCGCCGTTAAACAAGAAATAAACAAAACAAACTTTATTTTTTTTAAAGTTGATTAACCAAAATTTTGGTCAAAAATTCAATGTAGGTGGTCGAAAAAAGTAAATGATAATATAATAATGACAACTTCTTTAGATCAGTATAGATCTTCATATAGATGTCAAGTTTTAACATTATTTGTGTTATTCAGAGCAGTGACAAGCGACTGTACATGATCTTCAACCCATTATTTGTGTTATTCAGAGCAGTGACAAGAGACTGTACATGATCTTCAACCCATTATTTGTGTTATTCAGAGCGGTGACAAGCGACTGTACATGATCTTCAACCCATTATTTGTGTTATTCAGAGCAGTGACAAGAGACTGTACATGATCTTCAACCCATTATTTGTGTTATTCAGAGCGGTGACAAGCGACTGTACATGATCTTCAACCCATTATTTGTGTTATTCAGAGAGCAGTGACAAGCGACTGTACATGATCTTCAACCCATTATTTGTGTTATTCAGAGAGCGGTGACAAGCGACTGTACATGATCTTCAACCCATTATTTGTCTATTCAGAGAGCGGTGACAAGCGACTGTACATGATCTTCAACCCATTATTTGTCTATTCAGAGAGCGGTGACAAGCGACTGTACATGATCTTCAACCCATTATTTGTGTTATTCAGAGCAGTGACAAGAGACTGTACATGATCTTCAACCCATTATTTGTGTTATTCAGAGAGCGGTGACAAGCGACTGTACATGATCTTCAACCCATTATTTGTGTTATTCAGAGCAGTGACAAGCAACTGTACATGATCTTCAACCCATTATTTGTGTTATTCAGAGAGCGGTGACAAGCGACTGTACATGATCTTCAACCCATTATTTGTCTATTCAGAGAGCGGTGACAAGCGACTGTACATGATCTTCAACCCATTATTTGTCTATTCAGAGAGCGGTGACAAGCGACTGTACATGATCTTCAACCCATTATTTGTGTTATTCAGAGCAGTGACAAGCGACTGTACATGATCTTCAACCCATCATTTGTGTTATTCAGAGTGGTGACAAGCGACTGTACATGATCTTCAACCCATTATTTGTGTTATTCAGAGCAGTGACAAGAGACTGTACATGATCTTCAACCCATTATTTGTGTTATTCAGAGCAGTGACAAGAGACTGTACATGATCTTCAACCCATTATTTGTCTATTCAGAGAGCGGTGACAAGCGACTGTACATGATCTTCAACCCATTATTTGTGTTATTCAGAGCAGTGACAAGCGACTGTACATGATCTTCAACCCATCATTTGTGTTATTCAGAGTGGTGACAAGCGACTGTACATGATCTTCAACCCATTATTTGTGTTATTCAGAGAGCGGTGACAAGCGACTGTACATGATCTTCAACCCATTATTTGTCTATTCAGAGAGCGGTGACAAGCGACTGTACATGATCTTCAACCCATTATTTGTGTTATTCAGAGCAGTGACAAGCGACTGTACATGATCTTCAACCCATCATTTGTGTTATTCAGAGTGGTGACAAGCGACTGTACATGATCTTCAACCCATTATTTGTGTTATTCAGAGCAGTGACAAGAGACTGTACATGATCTTCAACCCATTATTTGTGTTATTCAGAGCAGTGACAAGAGACTGTACATGATCTTCAACCCATCATTTGTGTTATTCATAGCGGTGACAAGCGACTGTACATGATCTTCAACCCATTATTTGTGTTATTCAGAGCAGTGACAAGCGACTGTACATGATCTTCAACCCATTATTTGTGTTATTCAGAGAAGTGACAAGCAACTGTACATGATCTTCAACCCATTATTTGTGTTATTCAGAGTGGTGACAAGCGACTGTACATGATCTTCAACCCATTATTTGTGTTATTCAGAGTGGTGACAAGCGACTGTACATGATCTTCAACCCATCTGCCAAACCGGTGACGCCACAGACTTATGAGATTCTACTGCGTGAGGTAAGAAACTGATGCAGCATCAGGTTCAAACTAGAGTAAAAATAACCTGCTGAAATCATGTAGAGGGAAATTAATGGTTTGGATTGACTGAGGTAAATATTGTGCAAGAACAATTCTTTATGTTTGCGCAACACTGAAACTATTTTTAAATCCTGCATGCGACCTATCTAAAACATACTCACATCACAAGAAGGCTCACCATGGTGGCCTGCTGGGTAAAGTGTTTGCTTGTCTTACTGAATGGTTTTGAGGTTTGGTTCCACACATGGCTACAGCTGTTTGCATGGTGTTCCTGCCGTCATGTGACTTGCATGATGTAACAAATCTTGAATGGCACTTAGGAGTGAAACACATGAGGAAGAGAATTTATAGATGTCAATTTCTTTGTTCCCTCATCATAAAGCAGTTTACATCCATAAATTCTCCTCCTCACAGTGTAACAGTAAACGCAAACCCACTACCCAAATACACAAGACAGACACTTGGAGTTAAATGTGTGGATTTCATGTCCAACACATTCTTCTTGAATACATGTTCCCCTTATTCCTTCCATCAGTATACAGGATCAGTCTACTTCTTAAAGTTGTTTTTGGGTAGCAATTTCACATTTACCAACAAAGAATAATAAAACTGTATTCTTCTGAAGTTAACCATGCGTCTCCTGCTTCTTCTCAGTCATCTTTCCGCTCCTTCGATGGGTCGTCCCCAACACGCGACTCCTTCCTCACCATTTTGTCCATGATTGACGGAATCCTCATCCGTGCCACTCACCACACCATCATGGGCACCGCCACCCTGCGAGACATCAGCATGGACATCGCCGTGCCCCGCTCAACTGGACAACGTCTTGCCAGGGAGGTGGAGAGCTGTCAGTGCCCCGAGGGTTACACCGGTCTGTCCTGTGAGGTAAGGCTTCCTGGTGTTCAGTGTAAACAGTCTGACGTTTTAGTTCTGCAGAATCAGTGGTTTGATATCGGCATTTCAACCCAGCCCCCCATCAACCACCCCACCCCCTGCCTCTTACGAATATGTTAGTTATACCTCCTGCCACTTATGAATGATATGTTAGTTATACCCCTGCCACTTATGAATATGTTCGTTATACCCCTGCCTCTTATGAATATGTTAGTTATACCCCCTGCCTCTTATGGATATGTAAGTTATACCAACTGCCACTTATGGATATGTAAGTTATACCTCCTGCCTCTTATGAATATGTTAGGTATACCCCGTGCCTCTTATGAATGATATGTTAGTTATACCTCCTGCCTCTTATGAATATGTTAGTTATACCTCCTGCCTCTTATGAATATGTTAGGTATACCCCGTGCCTCTTATGAATGATATGTAAGTTATACCTCCTGCCTCTTATGAATATGTTAGTTATACCTCCTGCCTCTTATGAATATGTTAGGTATACCCCGTGCCTCTTATGAATGATATGTAAGTTATACCTCCTGCCTCTTATGAATATGTTAGGTATACCCCGTGCCTCTTATGAATGATATGTAAGTTATACCTCCTGCCTCTTATGAATATGTTAGGTATACCCCGTGCCTCTTTTGAATGATATTTTAGTTATATCTCCTGCCTCTTATGAATATGTTAGGTATACCCCCTGCCTCTTATGAATATGTTAGTTATACCCCTGCCTCTTATGAATGATATGTTAGTAAAAAAACCGATGCCTCTTATGAATATGTTAGTAAAAAAACCTGCCTCTTATGAATGATATGTTAGTTACACCCCTGCCTCTTCTGGATATGTTAGTTATACCCCTGGCCTCTTCTTCCAGGAATGTGCTGCTGGCTACTTGCGTGTAGAGGAACCAGGAACTCCACGTGGACGCTGTGTGCGCTGCAACTGTAACGGACACGCCACATCATGTGACACCGACACCGGACGCTGTCTGGTAGGTGCTCTTACATGTCGAAAGTAGATTCTCAAAGCTTAAACATTCTTATAAACATACTCTTGTTAGTGATAAAGTGATTTGACATCACCCATTTCATGAATACTTAAATGAATACCTTATAGCTTCTGTGCACTGAGCAGTTTTCAGTATAGGCCCAGCTAGATGCCGTATGTTGAGACAACTAGTCCAAGTCTATCTTTAAAAAAGACTTTAAATATCTGAATGATTGGCATGTATCAGTAAGCACTCCAAGTGATTGTACTTTTGTGTATATTCTGTTATGCATACAGAAAGAAAGTGATTGTTTCAACATCTAAGAAAATCAATTATCAACGTTGTTGGTCAGTCACCATGCGATGTGTAACACAGTTTATAAAATCATCATGGTTAATTACAGAACTGTAACGTTATTGGTCAGTCACCATGCGATGTGTAACACAGTATATAAAGTCATCATGGTTAATTACAGAACTGTAACGTTATTGGTCAGTCACCTTGCAATGTGAAACACAGTATATAAAGTCATCATGGTTAATTACAGAACTGCAATGACAACACTGAGGGTGACAGATGCGAGAGGTGTGCCTCTGGTTACTATGGTGACCCAACTGTTGGCACTCGCAGCGACTGCAGACCATGTCCCTGCCCTCTCACCATCCCATCCAATCAGTAAGTCGCTACATGTCATGTGACCATCCCATCCAATCAGTAAGTCGCTACATGTCATGTGACCATCCCGTCCAATCAGTAAGAAGCTACATGTCATGTGGCCATCCCATCCAATCAGTAAGTAGCTACATATGTGACCATCCCATCCAATCAGTAAGTAACTACATATCATGTGACCATCCCATCCAATCAGTAAGTAGCTACATGTCATGTGACCATCCCATCCAATCAGTAAGAAGCTACATGTCATGTGACCATCCCATCCAATCAGTAAGTCGCTACATGTCATGTGACCATCCCATCCAATCAGTAATGTCAGTGTATTAAATGTCATAATGTCTCACTGGACATTATTGTAAGCAAACATAGAGGGATGGTATGTGTTAATATGTACTGATAAATCTCCTAGTAAGTAATTATATGTCATGACACTTAATGAAGAATTGTTATTTATCTTTCTTCCTTGGGTGATATGTATACGATCCATCTCACTTTGGTCTCTCCTCCCATATTAGCTGACCATGATATAACTGAAATTCTTCTAACTTGCCTGGAAGCAACTCACTTGTTTATATATTTTCATTCAGCTAGGTCTTATCTCTCATGATGTCATTTTATTCCCAGATTCTCTCGCACATGCTTCTTGGACCCCTCAGACAACCGCGTGACATGTGACCGTTGTCCACCCGGCTATACTGGACGCGACTGTGGCACGTAAGTGAAAAAAACCTCAAAAAACTCCTAATTCTTCAGTCTTTGCTCTGCTATGTGGATAATGAACGAAGGTATGATGGGATAAAATAGGGTAGTATAATATTTCTTGTTTGTTTGCTTATTGTTTTACGCCACCCTCAGCAGTATTCAGTGGAGTAAGTGGCATCATGAGCATCAATCTACACAACTGGGATAGTTTCATACGTTGACATGCATCAACCAAAAACAAGCAAGTCTGACCACCAAATCCCATTAGTTGACTCTTACGACAAAAATGGGTTGCTGAAGACCAATTCTAACCCATATCATTAGGCATTGGTAACATTATATTTCTGTGGAAGTAGAGAAACGTCATGCTCTTTCAAGTGGGCACAGGTGGCCCAGTCATCTGAGGCGCAGCAATTTGCTGTGCAGAGTTGCATCTCTTGGCACACCAGGAACCTGTTTGAGAGTTTGAACTCCAGTTCTAGGTTTGTCTGTGCCAAACCTGTGCTCATGGGTTTCACAAAAAGTGGTAAATGTCTGAGACATGCCATGATATACCCGTAACTGGAATACTGTTCAAAACTCACTCACTTTCACAAAATGATATTGGGAAGATGGGGTAGCCTAGTGGTGAAAGAGTTCGCTCATCACACCGAAGACCCAGTTCAAATCCCAACATGGGAAAAATGTGTGAAGCCCATTTCTGGTGTCCCCCGTTGTGATAGTGGTGGAATATTGCTCAACAACGTAAAAACCATACTCACTCACTCACTGAAAATGATGTTATTATATTGTGCGAGAAGTGTGAATATGACTATTTATTCCCCTTTATGCTGTCTCCCCCTGCAGCTGTGCTGAAGGCTACGTTGGCAACCCAAGAGAATCTGGCGGCTCTTGTGAGAGAGGAGGTGAGTGATACTCTAATTCTGTCTTCACATCTGGCTACTGGTAAATGAACCTGTGTAAACTATTAAACACTGCACCAAGACGACAATAACGGTTGTAAGTTTGTGGAGGAACATATGTAGTTGTCTTAATTGTCTTATGAAATTTTTTGAAGAAGCCTGTGAGATGCATAATGTGTTTTCCGCCAAATAGTAATTGTTAAATGAAGTGAAGGGCATGCTGCTATCTGATTGGTTGAAAACATTAGGCTTAAAAAAATAAAAGAATTGGTTCTCAGGCAATTTTTTTTGAAAATATAGTGCAGGCGGTTAAGTCATATTTTTTTGGTCATTATTTTTAGGTGGTTGTTCAATCTAGTATGTAACCAAATAAATAGTTGTGTAACCAGATAAACAGTTGTGAACAATCAGTCAGGGAAAGGGCCTCCCTTCATAAATGTATTCTTTAATGAGTAAAATACTGGAATACAGTATTTGACAAAAGGATTTTTTTATATTTTTAAAAAAATGGAAATATAAATGAAACGTGCGGCTAACTTTATGATGATGCAGGCGGTGCCTGAGAACCAAGACTAATTTTTTTTAGCCTTATTAAATGGGAATGTATCCCGGAAATCTTTCTGACATTTTCTGTGTATAAGTGCTTGATTGAGTGTAGTCTAGAAAACAATACTGGCACTTCATTGCTATAGCTTGTGCTTCAGTGAACACTTGCCAGGTCACAGCATTGTAACATCATAGCAAACTAGACTGATGTCATAGCTTTGTGTCATATGACATCATAGAAGTCTAGACTGATGTCATAGCATTGTGTCATATGACATCATAGAAGTCTAGAGTGATGTCATAGCATTGTGTCATATGACATCATAGAAGTCTAGACTGATGTCATAGCATTGTGTCATATGACATCATAGAAGTCTAGAGTGATGTCATAGCATTGTGTCATATGACATCATAGAAGTCTAGAGTGATGTCATAGCATTGTGTCATATGACATCATAAAAGTCTAGAGTGATGTCATAGCATTGTGTCATATGACATCATAGAAGTCTAGAGTGATGTCATAGCATTGTGTCATATGACATCATAGAAGTCTAGAGTGATGTCATAGCATTGTGTCATATGACATCATAAAAGTCGAGAGTGATGTCATAGCATTGTATCATATGACATCATAGAAGTCTAGAGTGATATCATAGCATTGTATCACTGCTGTTACGTGTGTTTCAGTGAACGGTCGCCCTCAGGTTGTGGTGACCCCCATCCGTCTGAGCGAGCCTCTTGGATCAACAGCAAGCTTTCAGTGCCAGGTGTCTGGACGTGGGCCCTTTAACGTCGTCTGGAGCAGACTTGATGGACGCCCAATGCCTGGGAAAGTCCGCACCAGTGCCAGATATCAGATGACGATACCCGACCTTGAATCATCAGATGGCGGCCGATACGTCTGCACTGCTACCAACAACTACGGCAGCGTGAGGGAGTTTGTGGAGTTAACCATCAGTGGTAAGGACAGACAAGGATGCTCTCACATCTAGGGTGAATCATCCTCAGTTAAGACTCCATTCCATTAGGATAATTCCCTGGACCTATTCACCACCATACCTATGTAAGAACAGACAAGGATGCTCTCACAACTAGGGTGAATCATCCTCAGTTAAGACTCCATTCCTTCAGGATAATTCTAAAGCTATTCATCACCATACCGATTTTTAGATACCGGTTTAATAACATGACTTCCAATCCAGCTTCATTGCTCTTTCATGATATCACCATTACGCGACATGACTTTTGCATACCCTCTCAAATACAACCTGAATGTCTTGTAACATAATGATTTTAATACTCAGGAAAAGATATCCCTTTATAACCATTGATACGATTAGATATACTGAAATGACAAGACTAACAGTAAGTCAAGTGTTACCACACAGTGTCTTTATTCTTATCAAGATATGCTGCATGTAATTTCCAAACTTTAAATGTTCTTCCTGCCTGAGATAAATGGTACATCTCATGTCATGGATCTTTGACATCACATGTGATGCGTTCCCGAGCCTTGGTTCACACAACATGCCAGTATGTTTGTTTGTGCACCAAACCAATTTAATATCTCTTGAATATGAGTAACTCTTCATATATTAACAAACATGTTTGGTATTCGTGTTTCTTTTGTTGGTGAGTATATACCGAGGGGTTCACTCGGACACACATGATGTGAGTTACTGGTTTCACGTCAAATTTGTTAGTTTGTTGTTTAACTCCACTCTCAACAATAGTGATGCGGCTTAAAGCACCACTCACTCACTCACTCAACAATAGTGAAAAGGGCACTAAGTGTTGGCAAGTGTTGGCTTGTCACAATAAAACCAGGTTCTGTTCTCTAATGGTACAATGTGGGTCCATTCTGTGTGGGATTCGTGAAGATTCCGGTGTAGAATAGGTCTTTAGCAACCCATACTTGCCGTAAAAGGCCTCTATGCTTGTCATAAAAGGCGACTAATGGGATCGGGTGGTCAGGCTTGCTGACTTGGTTGATACATGTCATCGATCCCAATTGCGTGGATCGATGCTCATGATGTCAATCACTGGATTGTCTGGTCCAGACTCGATTATTTTACAGACCACCATCATATAGCTGGAATATTGTTGAGTGCGGCGTTAAACAACAAACAAACAAACAAATGTGGGTCCATTCTGTGTGGCCGCTGTCGTGACATGCCTGGAATATGTCCAAAAGTTAGAAATGGTGAAAACTCCTTTTCCAGGGTATATCAGTCCAAAGATATGCATCTGTCATGTCTGTTTTGTAAGTAGAAGTACATAAGTGGATCAGAAAATACATTGACTTGCCTTTGCATGTGTTTGTGATGGGTGTCACCAGTGGGGCAGGATACACTCACCATTCCGCTGACACCTGGTGTCATTAGTATTTAATAGTGATTCATAAACACATGCTCATGATATAGTCGGAATCGTACAATCAACTCGGCTTTATGCAGAGGTTTCTATTGGATATGGAAAGGGTTTAGTCGCTTTATTTGCATAATGCCATTTCAGCGCCAACCAATCCTATCCGTGTCCGCATCGAAGAGCCCCGTGAAGTGGAGACGAGGATCGGAGCCAGCGTCAGGTTCATCTGTGTCGCCGTCTCCTACAACACTGAGGTGAGAGGACTATTTTACGAGCTCTGCACATTTTGAGTCAGAGGTTATGGGATTTTGATGTCTTCCAACATTTGCAGTGGTTTTAGGTGTAGGATTTTGCATTTAACAAATAAAGCATGATTCCTGGAAAACTCGAAACCTCCATCACTGCCATAAGTCCTGTAGTTTGACTGCCCCCATCACACTGTGTTCACAGAAGTTCTTGTCACTGACAACTAGCCATAACCAGTTGTGCTACAAATAGGATCAATTTTGCATTTAACACATAAAGCATGATTTGACTGTTGGGAAATAGGATAAAAAAATAGTTTTTTTATTTCTGAGAGCAGATATTTTTGTGATTACAGAATGGTAGCAATTAAATGTTAGGTGAGCAGACAGGTGAAATTTGCTTTCTTAAACTCTCTCTGATTGACTAATGTCCCTATTGTTGATTGGTAACTGATAAAACATTTGATAAACAATGTGCATCATTGTGTAAGGAAGAGAATTTATGGATGTCAACTTCTTTATTATGAGGAACACAACGTTGAGGAGTATATACTAATCCTTCACCAGGTGAATACATTTAACAAGACAAAAGAAACATTGTGTTCCTCATAATAAAGAAGTTGACATCCATAAATTCTTATCACTTCTAAATGTCTTTTGGGGCGGTCGGGTAGCCTAGTGGTTAAAGCGTTCGCTCTTCACTCAGAAGATCCGGGTTCGATTCCTGACATGGGTACAATGTGTGAAGCCCATTTCTGGTGTCCCCTGCCGTGATATTGCTGGAATATTGCTAAAAGCAGCTTAAAACCAAACTCACACACACAAACTCTAAATGCTTTTCCAAGACTTGATCATTGTGTGGTTTCTAACTACTGGTGTTTGCTCGGTAGGCCAACTATATTCTGTCCTGGACCAAGAATGGTGCTGGTCTGCCAGAGAAGGCCATCGATCAGAATGGCGTTCTTGTTATCCCCAACGTCCAGCCTGAAGACGAGGGAACCTACACCTGTACTGGCTCCGACACCTATGGAGTTGATCGCGTCACTGCCGTTGTCAGTCTGGCTGGTAAGGAGATTACATTTGGAAAGACCATGTTTGTGTCCACCAACCTTAAGTAAAGACAAGCTGGTAGGATAGTCTAGTGGTTGGTGCAGTTGCTTGTCATACTGAAAAGGGGTTCTATTCCCAATACAGGAAGGATGTTATTTCCAGTGATTTTGCTGAACACTTTTTGGATGTTGAAGAGTTTAATAATGATGACTTCCTGAATAGAAGCTGACCTTGGAAATTTAGGAAATTTCCCTGTATATGTAGGGGGGTTTCCCTGTATATGTTGGGAGGGTTTCCTTGTATATGTAGGGAGGGTTTCCTTGTATATGTAGCAAGGGTTTCCCTGTATATGTAGCAAGGGTTTCCCTGTATATGTAGTGAGAGTTTCCCTGTGTATGTAGCAAGGGTTTCGCTGTATATGTAGAGGGGTTTTCCCTGTATATGTAGGGGGCATTTCCCTGTGTATGGAGGGGGGGTTTCCCTGTATATCTAGTGAGAGCTTCCCTGTATATGTGGGGAGGGTTTCCTTGTATATCTAGTGAGAGTTTCACTGTATATGTCCCCTGTGCTGTTTCCAGGACGGGAAGAGGCTCCAGTAGCCAGAATTGAGCCCCGCTACCTGCAAGTCAATGTTGGAGACTCCATTGAGTTCCGCTGTATCGCCGAGTCCAGTCCCCCCTCAACCATCGTCTGGACGCGCGGAGAGAGTGGACCTCTGCCAGACTACGCCACGGTGGAGAACGGCGTGTTCCGCATCGCCTCCGTACGGAAGAGCGATGAAGCTGAGTACTACTGTAAGGCAAGCAACCCCGCCGGCATGTCGACCGTCAGAACCATCTTATACGTCACCGGATCCGCTCCAGGTGAGACGCCACAGACTAATTGTAGTTTTCCGTTGTGTTGTTGTGTTATGTTGTGTGTTGTGTGAATAATATTTCAGAGCCACTTGCCATAATGTTAACTGGGTTTCATTGCAAGAACAGTTATGACGTGTTGTTTATTGGCAACGTCTCTTTTCACAAAAATGGATTCTTTTCAACAAGTTTGAATCATTTTTCAGAACCGGAAGTGACAATTGTGATCAGAAGAACACAGGTGACTGCAATTGTGGGAACCACGGTCAGCTTGGAATGTTACTCTCAGAATGGCGGTGATGTCATCCTTGTTTGGTCTCGGGAACGCCAGGGTCTCCCATCAGGTATGTTGTGTTGAGATCACGAGTCTGAGGTCATGAGTCTGTGGTAGCGAGTCTGAGGTCACGAGTCTGAGATCACGAGTCTGAGATCACGAGTCTGAGGTCACGAGTACAAGGCGTCAAACTCATGAACCTAAACATTGTTCAGAAATGTATGATTTGATTTTGTGTGTCAGATACCACATGTCACTGATCATGAGCTATCAACAAGAGGCTAGTCATTTCTATATTATTTACAAGCTGCAGAGATATGACTGGAACATTGCCACCACCAGCAGCTTAAAGCAGTTCACTTTGTCACTGCACCATACAGCGTCTCAGACCTGCATCGCCTCCTTCCACATCAGGGCGGTCGGGTAGTCTAGTGGTTAGGGCGTTCGCTCGTCACACCAAAAACCCGGGTTCGATTCCCGACATTGGTACAATGTGTGAAGCCCATTTCTGGTGTCCCCCGCCGCGATATTGCTGGAATATTGCCAAAAGCGGCGTAAAACCATACTCACTCATTCCTTCCACATCAAGATGACACAACATAATCAAATTGAAACACAGTTCAAACCATTTCTTGTGTGTCTGATACCCACATATCACTGATCATCAGTTTTTATGCTGTCAACCACAAGCTAGTCATTTCCATATTATTTGAAACACAGTTCAAACCATCTTTGAACCAAACTGACTTCATCTGCCATGATTTTGTGAATCATCTACGATTTGTATTTGCGTTGTAGGTTCCATCCAAGACAATGGCGTGTTGACTCTGCCCAATGTTCAGCCATCCTATGCCGGTACCTACATGTGTACTGGTACTACATCCACTGGCAAGACCGGCGTCGGACGCACCACCCTCACCATCGAAGCGAACGTTGAGAGTGAGTATGATATCTATGATAACGCTGGTTGTTAAAGGAGACTTTGTTGACAGGGAGGTCAGACTCGACCCTGAGGCTTGGTTGATTCCATGTCTTTACGGTATATTTCCTGCTATGTAATGTTCTCCAGGAGTGGGTACCATTTGTGAAGCCCCCGAAGAGTGGATACCATGTGAAAAGCACATAATTCCTTTGAATACCTTACCTCTATTACATCATTGACATAAATTCCTTTTTTGGCTGTATAATCTTTGGATTTTTCAACAGACGTCCTCTTCATATCTAATAGTTGTGAGGAAAACCCTCTCCTTTGCACAAATGCAACTGTGCATGGCAGGAAAACATTCACTTTTTTCTGTGTGTCCAGATCTAAACAATCAATAATTATTTACCACATCTAAACACGTTAGGTTTGTTAAGGTAAACTATGTAGATAACAAACTGACTGATATTACAAAATGTTTTTGATCCTGTTCATTTTCTGTGTATAAGCTGTATACATGCTTGTAACACTGTATACATGCTTGTAATGCTGTATACATGCTTGTAACGCTGTATACATGCTTGTTTCGCTGTATACATGCTTGTAACGCTGTATACATGCTTGTAACACTGTATACATGCTTGTAACGCTGTATACATGCTTGTAACGCTGTATATATGCTTGTAACGCTGTATATATGCTTGTAACGCTGTATACATGCTTGTAACACTGTATACATGCATGTAACACTGTATACATGCTTGTAATGCTGTATACATGCTTGTAATGCTGTATACATGCTTGTTACGCTGTATACATGCTTGTAACGCTGTATACATGCTTGTAACGCTGTATATATGCTTGTAACGCTGTATAAATGCTTGTAACGCTGTATACATGCTTTTTACGAACTACGGTTATTATGAACTATTACGATGCCTTTCAGTTCGTTATGACCGTAGCTAATGTATTTCACACTGTAACCAAACTCACTGACTGACTGACTGGCTGTTCACCAGGAGAGGCCCCCACCGTGTCTATCGAGGAGAAGATGCAAGTGATTCCGTCCGGAACAACTGGCACAATCCGCTGTGTTGTCACAGGAATTCCCAAACCTACCATCACCTGGAAGCGGGCCCGAGGAGAGCTCTCCAGCAACCACGTGGTAGGTACAGTGGGCTGATGTAGCATTGCCGAAGGTGTGAGAGCACCTGTCTTTGTACAGTAGGATTGAAAAAATAAAACTGCAAGAGAGAGAAAAACCTGAGGGCTGTAGGCCCTGGGGCTATTCCCGAACTTGAGGTTTTACATTTTCAACCAAACCCCAGGAAGAGTGTTTTATCCAATCTAAGTGCAAGAAAAAAAAACAGAAAAAATTAGAAAACATCTGGATAGTGAAACAATTCAGTGTGTCACGGTATAAAGGGAATTTGATCAAAGCATGTGAGAGAAAGACCACATGCAGCATACACACAACCTGAAGTCATGACATGTAAAATTGAACAGCCTTTCATCACCTGCTAGAGCACCTATCTTTGTATGGTGGAGTTGTGTAGCACGGCAGAAGGCCCCCCTGTGTATCAGTAGGGCTGATAGTGTGGTGATGGTGGCCGAGGTGCTAGAAGGCTGAAGCAGTAGGGCTGGTAGTGTGGTGATGGTGGCCGAGGTGCTAGAAGGCTGAAGCAGTAGGGCTGGTAGTGTGGTGATGGTGGCCGAGGTGCTAGAAGGCTGAAGCAGTAGGGCTGGTAGTGTGGTGATGGTGGCCGAGGTGCTAGAAGGCTGAAGCAGTAGGGCTGGTAGTGTGGTGATGGTGGCCGAGGTGCTAGAAGGCTGAAGCAGTAGGGCTGGTAGTGTGGTGATGGTGGCCGAGGTGCTAGAAGGCTGAAGCAGTAGGGCTGATAGTGTGGTGATGGTGGCCGAGGTGCTAGAAGGCTGAAGCAGTAGGGCTGATAGTGTGGTGATGGTGGCCGAGGTGCTAGAAGGCTGAAGCAGTAGGGCTGATAGTGTGGTGATGGTGGCCGAGGGAGAACGGGCGACGTGGAAGGTGACAGGGAAAATGGCAATCCAGCTCCAGTACCAGTTACACCCTATATTACATGTCCCACTTGAGTAGCAATACTGAGTCACTTGTCCATTTACTTCTCATTGTGTTGTATCCAGGTCAGCCAAAATGGAGAAATCCTGAGAATCACCCAGGCAACAATGGCCGATCGGGGAGTTTACATCTGTCTTGCCGAGAGTGTTTCTGGCAGAGCGATGGCCTCCGCTATGATTGATGTTGAACGTAAGTATATTGCACGAGTTATGGAAAAGTGGTGTTCTTGTAGTTACATGTATAGAGAAAGACCAGTCATGACCCACTAGCACAGACTAGTGTAAGTTTGTGTTAAAATATGAGAGTTACGAAGGTCCTGGCACTAAGACAATTGTAAGTCTACGTTAAAGTATGGGAGTTACGATGGTCCTAGCACTAAGACAATTGTTAGTCTATGGTAAAGTATGGGAGTTACGATGGTCCTAGCACTAAGATAATTGTAAGTCTACGTTAAAGTATGGGAGTTACGATGGTCCTAGCACTAAGACAGTTGTTAGTCTATGGTAAAGTATGGGAGTTACGATTGACCTTCCACTGAGACAATTGTTACTCTATGGTAAAGTATGGGAGTTACTATTGACCTTCCACTGAGACAATTGTTAGTCTATGGTAAAGTATGGGAGTTACGATTGACCTTCCACTGAGACAATTGTTACTCTATGGTAAAGTATGGGAGTTACAATTGACCTTCCACTAAGACAATTGTTAGTCTATGGTAAAGTATGGGAGTTACGATTGACCTTCCACTGAGACAATTGTTACTCTATGGTAAAGTATGGGAGTTACGATTGACCTTCCACTAAGACAATTGTTAGTCTATGGTAAAGTATGGGAGTTACGATTGACCTTCCACTAAGACAATTGGAAGTCTATGTTAAAGTATGGGAGTTACGATGGTCCTAGCACTAAGACAGTTGTTAGTCTATGGTAAAGTATGGGAGTTACGATTGACCTTCCACTGAGACAATTGTTACTCTATGGTAAAGTATGGGAGTTACGATTGACCTTCCACTGAGACAATTGTTAGTCTATGGTAAAGTATGGGAGTTACGATTGACCTTCCACTGAGACAATTGTTACTCTATGGTAAAGTATGGGAGTTACGATTGACCTTCCACTGAGACAATTGTTAGTCTATGGTAAAGTATGGGAGTTACGATTGACCTTCCACTGAGACAATTGTTACTCTATGGTAAAGTATGGGAGTTACGATTGACCTTCCACTAAGACAATTGTTAGTCTATGGTAAAGTATGGGAGTTACGATGGTCCTAGCACTAAGACAATTGTTAGTCTATGGTAAAGTATGGGAGTTATGATTGACCTTCCACTAAGACAATTGTTAGTCTATGGTAAAGTATGGGAGTTACGATGGTCAAACCGCTACGCTCACTTTGTGAAAGTGGGCCTGGTAAAGTGCTTCCTGTGGTGCTAATAGAGATTATTAGCACTGTGTTCCACTACATATCATATATTAGAAATATAAATGGTGTCGCCTGAGCCTTAACAACTCTACCAATATGATAGGTACAAGACAATAACAAGAAAAAATAACGAATGAAAAAAGTTCTCGTCAGAAATAAGCACGGCTTAGATGTTTTAGGATCATACATATTCTGCCAAGCCAAGAAAATACTCTCTTTTTTTTAAATCCCTTTTTTTAAAATCCCTTTTTTTTCTTCTTTTTTTAAAAAATACTTGATTTTGATTGGTCAATCAAAGCAATTTGCTTTATTGTATAGTTACAGTAGAAACTTTATCAATCTTATATTAGATTGCCGAATGATTCACTTCCATATTGATATTTGTACTAAGCAAGCACCTGTTTGTGTTAGGTCGGGACATGCCAGTGGTGGAGCTGTACCCAGCCAATAGTGTGACAGTCAGACGTGGAGGCAGCGCCCTCTTCCAGTGCCGCGTCACCGGCGGAACCCCATCCCCAACAATCACATGGACAAGGTACATCACCACAATGTGGCACATCTAGTCAACTAGTCAGATGAACTGGGCGAAATATTATGTTGGGATTCTATTAATATTATATATGCAAGTGGAAAAAAGTACATGCATAAGTGTGACTGAGTGTTTTGTCTTGTTCACAGCAATCTGAAGAATTTAGCTGATACTGTAGTTGGTAATGAAAAATCTGCATAAATATGTATGACGTATGAAGGATTTGTCAATATCAAAATTTTACATTTCATAAACAAATTTACATATTTACACCACAATAAGACATAGTTTGGTTGCATGGGGAAATGTGTTACTGAAATGTCTCATTTTTGTGGTCCCAGATGGAGATTAGCCTTGCCCACAAAAAACAAAATACCAGAATTGACATAAAATAATATATTTTTCTATGGCCAGAGTTGGAGATGAGCCTTTCACATCAACAACCGACATTATGGAGGAGAACGGAGTGATTATGTTCAAGGGAGTGACCGGTGACGAGCAGGGCTCCTATGTGTGTACTGCCACCAACGCCATGGGAACAGTCACCGCCACAGCCATCCTCAGGATTGAAGGTCAGTACATAGAGACTGGAGTAATATTGGGTCACGGGTAGCAGAGTTGCTTCCCTTATGCATGCCAGGAACCTATGATGGTCACACTCAGCAATATTCCAGCTATATGCCGACAGTCTGTAAATAATTGAGTCTGGACCAGACAATCCATTGATTGACATCATGAGCACTGATCCAAGCAATTGGGATATGATGAAATGCATCAACCAAGTCAGCAAAATGACCAGATGGACTGGGTAGCCAGACTTGGTGACTTGGTTGACCGTCATTGTGCGTCATTGACCCTGATGGCATTGCTCATTGCTCACAGTCTCAGTCACTGGATTGTCTGGTCCAGTCTTGATTATATACAACCTCCGTCATGGAGCTTGAAATTGCTGAGTGCGAATTGCACAACAAACATGTCCAAGCTGTGGAAAGTTACAAATGTACTGTGTTCTCCAATGTTGCAGGACCTCCCAAGGTTTCCATCTCGCCAAGCCGCAAAGTGACGTCCCTGGAAGGTGATCGGGTCACCCTGGAGTGTACCGGTGAAGGCGAGCCGACGCCCAATGTGTTCTGGCGTAGTGATACCCGCAGGAGGAGTGATGTTCTCCCAGAAGCTTCGTATGAAGACGAGGGATCCGCACGACTCATCTTCGATTCCGTGGCCAAGGCTGATGAAGGCAGATATATCTGTATCGCCACCAATGAACGTGGTCGGGACGAGGCATCAGTAGATCTGACAGGTAGGGCGGTGGTTGAACTCTGGTTTCCATCAGCACAACCGAAGTCACTGGTAGACCTTCAGTTAAGACGTTAATGATAATGACTGGCATGTCAAAGGTCATTAGTTGTCCGAACAGAAAGTGACCGATCCTTTACTTATTTAAGACAATGTAGTGCTGGATAAAATATTGAAATGGTCCACATAATGAAAATATAAGTTATTGAATTGGTCTTGGAATGTTCTTGAAATGTTCTTGAAATATTCTTTGGATGTTCTTGGAATATTCATGAAATGTTCTTGGAATACTCTTGGAATGTTCTTGAAATATTCTGGGATGTTCTTGGACTATTCATGGAATGTTCTTGGAATAGTTTTGGAATGTTCTTGAATTGTTCTTTGTATTTAGAAAGTTAGGAATGTATGACCTCAGTACATGTTCAATGCTCAAAGTATGTTGTATGAACATTCTCGTATTACTTTCAGTTATCACCGACGGCGGCCCCCGACCTGAAGTTATTGTGGACATACAAGGGCCCGACCAGATGTCTCTAGTTGCCGGACAGTCCGTGGAACTTACCTGTTCTGCCCAAGGTAGGATCAAACACAGCTCCCTCTGATAATGCCCTGATGTGTACTGAGTGGGGCTGTGCTTCACTGTGTCCCTGTAATTACAGCAATCATCAGCTGGGAGACGAGTGTTCATGACGGAATACGAATCTGGTGTTTGACAGGGAGCTAATGGAAATTAAAATGATAGCTAAATTTATTTTTTCATTTTTCTTTTAAATGATTTTGAAGTGGTAGCACTGATTTTTGTGACACCATTTGAACAATTCAAGTTTCTCCGGACTCCTAGCTGGCTGGAATCTCTCCTTGATGTGTTCAAGGCTAGGTCCCACCTGGAGACAAGTTTCTCCGGACTCCTAGCTGGCTGGAATCTCTCCTTGATGTGTTCAAGGTTAGGTCCCACCTGGAGACAAGTTTCTTCATCTCTTGTATTTTATTGTTCTAGGACTCCAGTCTCCAGTGATCAGATGGCGTCGTCCTGGCAACCAGCCTCTCCCTCCAAACCACTCCATCCGTCAGGGTGTGTTGTACATCCCTCAGATCACACCCGAGTACCAGGGAGAGTATGTGTGTGTCGTCACCGGTGGCGCCGGATCCCAGTTCTCTGCATCTGTTATCCTCATCGTGTCAGGTAGGTTGTCTTGGAGCTCCCTGTTTGTCGTTGATAAAGTCAGTCACCATGCCTGGGTCTATCTTTTTAAGCCATTCCAGGAACCAGTATCAGAGATGGATTACCTTACCATTTCCATTGACGCCAGTATATTAAGCCATTCCAGGAACCAGTATCAGGGATGTATTACCTTACCATTTCCAGTGACGCCATTATATTAAGCCACTCCAGGAACCAGTATCAGAGATGTATTACCTTACCATTTCCAGTGACGCCATTACATTAAGCCACTCCAGGAACCAGTATCAGGGATGTATTACCTTACCATTTCCATTGACGCCAGTATATTAAGCCATTCCAGGAAGCACTCTGAGAGATGTTTTACCTTACTATTTCCAGTGACACCCCGTCTGACCATCACTCCCTCCGTGGTGGCCACAAGGCCCGGCCAGACTGTACGCCTCAACTGCCAGCCAGGCGGGAGTGGACCGTTCCAGATTGAGTGGACCAAGGTCAATGGGGTCCTGTCTCCAACTGCCATCGAGCGTGATGGAGTCCTGGAAATCCGTGGCGTAACGGCAGCAGATGCTGGTCAGTACAGATGCATCGCCACCAACAACGCTGGCAGCTCGGAAGGCTACGCCAGCATCGAGATATCTGGTAGGTCGAATTGTCAGGCTTGGGATATGCATGGTTTTCTTACTGTTTTCACAACTCAGCGTTCATTCAATGTAGGCTTCTGTTGTTTTCAAGACATTTAGATTCAAAAGTACCAAAGATGTGATCAAGATACTTTATTGTATTTAATCCTCTGGCCCATATGCAAAAACCTTATGCATGCACTTGTACAATTGTTTACAAATATTTGTCAATTTGTTATCAACAGTTTTTGTTCTCGATGGCCGACAATGACAAATAGATATGGCAAGTTAAGATTGAATAAGTGAATTGTCTGAAAGTGGAGAGTTTTATGTTGAAAGTTTGATTGTTAAAGAAACATTTGCATTGTAATTACTTAGTGCAAACGTCTATTCAGGGATTTACTGTATTCACATCTAGAACCTACATCAATAATTATAGATTTCAGTATTGTAATAAAATGGAAGCTGCCTTTATGCGAACCTCTGTTATTAGCTCCCCTGTTTTCACATTCCAGTGCCTCCTACAGTTGTGGTTTCTCCCAAGAATGAGCAGATAGCTGCTGGGCGCACGGTGGAGCTTCGATGTGATGTGACGGGAACCCCGCCGCCCCAGGTCCGCTGGGAGAAAGACATGGGCGGACAGCTTCCTGTCCAGCACCAGATCAGGAATGGAGTGCTCACGTACGTACACATCAACTCCGGATTTAAGGTCCACTCTCTCTGGAAAATCAGTGGACTGTGATAAATATCTACGTATCTGAATGTTTTAAACTTTATATTTATCACTGATTTCATTACTAACTTACTACACTTCTAATATCCCCTTAATATACAGTCAAGAGGTGAAATTACAACACAAAGAATAGATTCATAATAAATGTTTAAAACATATTCAAGAAGTTTTTGAATCAGTTGGACAACTGCAATCAGAGTTCTTGCTTAACAACTTCCCATCTTGTGATACGATCAGTTTGGCTTTATAAAATGAATCAGAGACCAATGCAATGCTGTTCTTAGGCTAAACAAAATTATAGTCTTGGTTCCCAGGCATCATTATAAAGATCGCCAGACGTTTTGTTTTTATTTCCATTTTCAAAAAATAAATTCTAATTATTAAAAACAATGCGATCCAATATAGTACACAGCTACTTCCCTTTACTGCACATCTTGTGTTATGGTCATGGCAGCAATAGCAGTTTGTATGTTTGTTTATGTAGGGAGGCCAGCCCTACTGCACAATATTTTAAAAAGTCGACTTGTCCGTGTTTTCTAGTTGTTCGTCTTTCTTGTCGACTATGTGTTGATGCACGAACATAAAGCTGTTTGGAAAATATTCATGTTATGCCGTGAGATTATCACTGAATCATTTGACCTCCATTTGGGACAATACTTTTTGTCAGACATTCCTCCCTCTTATTTCCTGCGTAAACATTTCTCATGTAAATATTTATTGTTATTGTATGTTATCGGTATGTGATACGTCCTATAACACCCATGCTTTCTGCTGCAGCATCTACAATGTCGCAGAGGAGGATTCTGGTCGCTACATCTGTACCGCCTCCAACGAGGCCGGCAGCAACAGGGACTACACCTACCTCCGTGTCCAGGGTCAGTCCATCTCTCCTGCCATGCTTGTAGTCGTATAATAATTTGCTCACAATCACCAGCATCCAGAGGGATGGTGTAGATCCTGCTGGGGAACCATGCAGGTAGCAGATGAACCATACTCCCCATGGTCCATGGTATTGTGGCCGAACTTTGGTAGCTGGTACTCTATAGCCCAATTTTAAAATCAGTTTTGATGTCCACCAACTAGTTTTAATAAATCTATGACAAATTACCGGTTCTTACACTGACCTTTGACGACAGGTTTTTAAAAATAATATTGATGTAAACTTGTTCAAGTCGCACTATGGCTGAAATAATGCCGACGTGACTTTAAATTTTAACTCGCTCCTTGACATTCCTTCTGATTCTGATCATCTACCAACAGGTGGTCCTGGCATCGTCCCAGGCGGAGGAGGCCAGAGCAGCGTACAGACCGTCAACGTGGGCGACAGAGTGGACTTCGAGTGCCTTGTGTCAGGTAGGTGGAGGAGTCTCCGGTCCGTGGGTCCAGAGTACGGGTACGGGTACGCGCACGCGCACACGCACACGCACACGCACACGCACACACACACACACCCTTTTGAAGCATACTACACATTCACACTTGGAAATTGTACACTAAACAAAGCATCTGATGACACAATGACTCACTTATTTGGTAATATATTTTCAACAAGATTACATGATTTCTGTGAATGAATTGCCAAATCACAAAATGCACCCTTCTTTTTCAAGAACACAATTTCTGAGCTTGTTACATCATCGTGTCATTATTCTCTGACAAGTTGATTGTTCCTCATGCTATCAAACACTGTTTTCGGGGCCCACTACTTGATTACAGGCTGATCGGGGCATTAAAATCATTCACATTCACATTATGTATTATGGATATGTATTTTTGTTTCTCAAATTAATAAAATTGTGTCCTTTTAAATATTGATTTTTACCAAAATTTGAATTGTAACCTGGGCATACGGAATTAGTAAATGAATATTCCTGATATCTTGTCATTAGTTTGATAGTGTGAACGTTTGTCCAGGCACACCGAAGCCAATGGTGAAATGGTCTAAGGTGGAGGGAGCCCTTCCAGCAAGCGCCGTTATCGGTGAGGGCATCCTCATCGTCCCAGAAGTCCGCCCCGAGGATGCTGGCACGTATGTGTGCACTGCAACCAATGAAGCTGGCACCGTGCAGAGTAAAGTACAGCTGTTTGTCAGAGGTGAGTAAAAGGAACAGTTGGGTTATATAGGAGTTACTACTCCAAGTTTTTTCGGGGTGGTGGGGTAGCCTAGTGGTTAAGGCGTTGGCTCCGCTCGCCGAAGACCCAGGTTCAATTTCTGACATGGGTACAATACGTGAAGCCCTTTTTTTGGTGTCGTCCACCATGATATTGCTGGAATATTGCTAAAAGGGCGTAAAACCGTACTCACTCACTCACTCCATGTGAATATCAGAGTTATTTCCCTTTAGTGCATTATAAAATGTGATGTTTCATAGTTTCCCCACTACCAAGTTAATATAACAGTGATTCATGGTTTGTTCAGCCAGGAACAGGGAGTTGCACCTACCAATATAGCCTGTATTCTCTCCTGAACATGATTACATGAGTGAGTAAATATTGTTTAACGCCGCATCAGCAATTTTGCAGCTATTCGCGGCGATGAACATGATTAAAAGTCAACCTGATGTTTCATAGCTCACCAAATAACACTTACAATTAATGCTGTAAGAAAACACAACCACTGTGACTGAAATCTCCGATTAGTGTTGTCACAGAAACAAGGGCACAACTCCAATTTGACAAGCATCAGAGCCCGGCAGGGGGTGTATACGAGGTTATAATACCCCCTCGCTATGTTGGCTCTATCACACATACAACATGGTGTATATCATTGGATAGGAGCAATGCGTTTACACCTCACATATTGTATATGTCATCTGTTTCCCCAGCTCGCCCAGTGATATCAGTTCCACAAGATATCAACACAGCAGCCCTGGGAGGCCCCGCCTCTCTGTCATGTGATGCCCAGGGATACCCCAACCCGTCCGTCACCTGGACAAAGCAGGAGGGTGATTTGCCCAGGTAGGTCATAGGCAGATCACAGGGGTTATCTAGGGTTGCAAGCTCAATGCCCTTGCAGGCAACCTGAGAAAAATAATGGGTTTTTTTCATTGTTTGGATTTTTTCTCATTCTCATTTTCTTAATTTTATTGTTATTTTTACATAGCATTATTAAGCATTAGCCTCTCCCTCTTTACTGGTCCTGTAATAAGAGTACCGTATTTGGCGTAATAAGCGCCCAGGGCGCCCTCAAAATTAGAAATAGGGGGCTCTTATTTGTTAATATAATTTTGGTGAAAGAGTTGAAAGATTGTAAATTTTGTGGTTTATGCGGACAGCTTGGTATGATAGAAGAGAAAAGTCTGTGCGTATTATACACGACAGATATATTTTTCCAGAATTTAATTGCCCGTAATTGAAGGTGCATTTAAAACACAAGTGCGTATTATACATTATTACGTAGAGTACAGTAATATGAATTATATCTTCAAAGCCATAAAATTAGACTATAATAACAGGAGTTGGGAAATTTTAATGACATTTGCTGCAAACTTGGGGCCAAATATCAGACTTTCAGAAATTCCGGGGTAATGCCATCTTTGTCATCGTTTAGTTGTTTCTTGGGCAGAATAATATACTGAAGCAATGGATAATTTCTGAAATAGTAAATGTGCTTTGTGAACAGAGAACACACGATCACAGACGGTGAGCTGAAAATCCCCCGCGTACGAGAAGAGGACGGAGGCACCTACATGTGCCAGGCTGCAAACAGATACGGAACTGCTCAAATTCCAGTGGTCCTCATTGTTGGTGGTATGTGTTGCCCAGCCAATAGAATCTTAGGGGGCAGTGGGGTAGCCTAGTGGTTAAAGCGTTCACTCGTCACTCTGAAGGCCTGGGCTCGATTCCCCACATGGGTACAATTTGTGAAACCCAATTTCTGGTGTCCCCCACCGTTATATTGCTGGAATATTGCTTAAAGTGGCATAAAACCATGCTAACATGTTACTATTAATCTGAACCCTGAGTAACTTATGCATGCGTGAAGTTAGGATTTATAGCATCTTATTTCTTATTCATGAACATACCTAAGAAAAAAGACAAGATATGTTTTTGTTTCTAGTTGACACTTTGTGATCACAGCTTTGTATTTTATGATATGATTGATTGACCTTTAATGTCATGGTCTTCTTGTATGTTACAAACAAACCATGAAAGAAATCTAGAAACATATATTTATGTATACTCCACAGGGAGCTGAGAATAGAATTTGCCATCGCATAGATCCCTTGATCGGCATTTCTGATAATATCTGTGCTGTAAGCATGAATTGTATCACAGGGGGCGCTTATTAGAGCAGGGCGCTTATTACGTTGAATAAGGTAATTGATCTTTTGAAGCTGTCAAACAATTTTGATGATGTTGATAAGTTGTCCCCTGACTAGTATTTAAATGTTCTGTGGATGTTTCAGCACTGGTGCCATACTTCCCCCAGAATCCTGTCTCCTACATGAGCTACCAGCCTCTCCAGGATGTGTACCTCAACTTCGACATCGTGATGTCTTTCCGCCCTGAGGCAACCGATGGCATGCTCATGTATAACGGCCAATATAACACCGGCATTGGAGACTTCATGTGCTTCGGTCTGAACGGCGCCTACCCAGAGTTCCGCTTCGATGTGGGCTCAGGTCCTGCTATTATCCGTGGCAACAACCCTGTTCAGATGAACACTTGGAACACTGTGCAGTTCAAGAGAGACAGGAAGAATGGTAGTGAACCAATACAATATCATATATACTATTCACCAACAACTAATTACTTCATATATCTCCACACAAGTTTAATTTTTCCAAAGCAAGCGGGAAACATTTTTTTTCTTTTTTTAATATTTTTTTTCGAATGTTTTTATATATTTGTATGTATTTGGGGGAGGGGGGTAGACATTTGACAGTGTCACTCATTTTATCTTTGATAATTGGCTTTATCTATGATGATTTTCTGTCTATGTGATGATAGATCATCTCTTAGACAATTGGCTTTGTCTGTGGTGATTCATCGTATCCATAGTGATTGACTTTACCTGTTATGATTAACTTGATCTGTAAAGATTGAGTTACCGGTGATGATTGACTTAATCTGAAATGGTTGACCTCATCTGTAACAATTGAATTACCTGTGATGATTGAATTACCTGTGGTGATTGACCTCATCTGGGATGATTGACTTAATCTGTAATGATTGACCTCATCTGTAACGATTGAATTACCTGTGATGATTGACTTAATCTGTAATGATTGACCTCATCTGTAACAATTGAATAGCTTTTAATGATTGACTTAATTTGTGATGATTGACCCCATCTGGGATGATTGACTTCATCTGGGATGAGTGACTTCATCTGGGATGAGTGGTGTGATGTCGTTATCTGTGAATTGCTGATGATTGTCAACTCTCCTCCAGGCACAATGATTGTAAACGATGAGCCCGCCTACTATGGTGAAGCTCCAGGGCGCTTTGAGGGGCTGGACCTCTTGGAGAACATGTACGTTGGCGGTGTGCCCAACTTCCAGAGCATCCCCAGGGCAGCTGGATTCTCCAAGGGATTTGTGGGTAAGGGAGTGGTCGGTCATTTGATAGCAGTTGGCCTTGTTAGGGAGTGGTCAGCCATTTGATAGCAGTTGGCCTTGTTAGGGAGTGGTCGGTCATTTGATAGCAGTTGGCCTTGTTAGGGAGTGGTCAGCCATTTGATAGCAGTTGGCCTTGTAAGGGAGTGGTCGGCCATTTGATAGCAGTCGGCCTTGTTAGGGAGTGGTCGGCCATTTGATAGCAGTTGGCCTTGTAAGGGAGTGGTCGGCCATTTGATAGCAGTCGGCCTTGTTAGGGAGTGGTCGGCCATTTGAAAGCAGTTGGCCTTGTAAGGGAGTGGTCGGCCATTGTACGTCTGTTGGCCTTAGTAGTGAGTGTAAATACAGGACACTAATTATGGATAGCATCTTCTTTTATTCTTTGTTACAATGTTTCAGAGCTACTTCCTGCTCCGTCATCATGTGAATGAATCATCATCATTCTCCTGATGAAGGAGTAGGGAGTAGCTCTGAAACATCGTGATAAAGAATAAAAGAAGTTGATATCCATAAAAGGTGTCATTATTTATGTTCCTCCAACTTCTAAATGCCTAGCAAAGACTTTTTAGTGAGTGGTCGGACGTTATGAAACTGTTGACATCATGTCCATAGGGTATTTCAGGCAAAAACGGTGAAATGTAGGCATAGTGCTATGTATAAGTCGACACGTGAGGTAGGTGTATTGTTACGTCCAAAATAACATCCAAAGTCTATGCAACCATGACTGTAAGAAATGCTGCTTGTGTAGGTACCGTGAGCGAGGTCAAACTGAAGGGTGTCCCTCTGAACCTTGGCGGAGATGCGATCGACTTGTACGGAATTCAACAATACCAGGCCTGTCAGCCCGGAGCATGCTTCAACGGAGGTTCCTGTCAGCCCTACAACAACCCCTATGGCTACCGGTGCTTGTGTCCTCAAGGATGGGCTGGTGAACGCTGCCAAGTGCATGGAGAACGCTGCTTCCCAGGTACTCATCACATCCAAGATCCCCGTAGGGATTCCGGAGAAGTATCCCAGTACCCATGCTTGTCTCCCAGAGTGGATCCCGGGATAGAATAGATCCCAGTACCTATGCTTGTCTCCCAGAGTGGATCCCGGGATAGAATAGATCCCAGTACCTATGCTTGTCTCCCAGAGTGGATCCCGGGATAGAATAGATCCCAGTACCTATGCTTGTCTCCCAGAGTGGATCCCGGGATAGAATAGGTCCCCAGTACCCATGCTTGTCTCCCAGAGTGGATCCCGGGATAGAATAGGTCCCGAGTACCCATGCTTGTCTCCCAGAGTGGATCCCGGGATAGAATAGGTCCCCAGTACCTATGCTTGTCTCCCAGAGTGGATCCCGGGATAGAATAGATCCCAGTACCTATGCTTGTCTTCCAGAGTGGATCCCGGGATAGAATAGATCCCAGTACCTATGCTTGTCTCCCAGAGTGGATCCCAGGATAGAATAGATCCCAGTACCTATGCTTGTCTCCCAGAGTGGATCCCGGGATAGAATAGGTCCCCAGTACCCATGCTTGTCTCCCAGAGTGGATCCCGGGATAGAATAGGTCCCAGTACCTATGCTTGTCTCCCAGAGTGGATCCCGGGATAGAATAGATCCCAGTACCTATGCTTGTCTCCCAGAGTGGATCCCGGGATAGAATAGATCCCAGTACCTATGCTTGTCTCCCAGAGTGGATCCCGGGATAGAATAGATCCCAGTACCTATGCTTGTCTCCCAGAGTGGATCCCAGGATAGAATAGATCCCAGTACCTATGCTTGTCTCCCAGAGTGGATCCCGGGATAGAATAGGTCCCCAGTACCCATGCTTGTCTCCCAGAGTGGATCCCGGGATAGAATAGGTCCCGAGTACCCATGCTTGTCTCCAAGAGTGGATCCCGGGATAGAATAGGTCCCCAGTACCCATGCTTGTCTCCCAGAGTGGATCCCGGGATAGAATAGGTCCCCAGTACCCATACATGTCTCCCAGAGTGGATTCTGGGATAGAATAGGTCCCAGTACCCATACTTGTCTCCAAGAGGAGATTCCGGGATAGAATAGGTTCCCAGTATCCATACTTGTCTCCCAGAGTGGATTCCGGGACAGAATAGGTTCCCAGTACCCATTCTTGTCTCCCAGAGTAGATTCCGGGACAGAATAGGTCCCCAGTACCCATACTTGTCTCCCAGAGTAGATTCCAGGATAGAATAGGTTCCCAGTACCCATACTTGTCTCCCAGAGTAGATTCTGGGATAGAATAGGTTCCCAGTACCAATACTTGTCTCCCAGAGTGGATTCTGGGATAGAATAGGTCCCCAGTACCCATACTTGTCTCCCAGAGTGGAATCCAGGACAGAATAGGTCCCAGTACCCATGCTTGTCTCCCAGAGTAGATTCCGGGATAGAATAGGTCCCCAGTACCCATACTTGTCTCCCAGAGTAGATTCCGGGGTAGAATAGGTCCCCAGTACCCATACTTGTCTCCCAGAGTGGATTCTTGGATAGAATAGGTCCCGAGTACCCATACTTGTCTCCCAGAGTGGATTCTGGGACAGAATAGGTTCCCAGTACCCAAACATGTCTCCCAGAGTAGATTCCGGGACAGAATAGGTTCCCAGTACCCATACTTGTCTCCCAGAGTAGATTCTGGGATAGAATAGGTTCCCAGTACCCATACTTGTCTCCCAGAGTAGATTCCGGGACAGAATAGGTCCCCAGTACCCATACTTGTCTCCCAGAGTAGATTCCAGGATAGAATAGGTTCCCAGTACCCATGCTTGTCTCCCAGAGTAGATTCCGGGATAGAATAGGTTCCCAGTACCCATGCTTGTCTCCCAGAGTAGATTCCGGGATAGAATAGGTCCCCAGTACCCATACTTGTCTCCCAGAGTAGATTCCGGGACAGAATAGGTTCCCAGTACCCATACTTGTCTCCCAGAGTAGATTCCGGGATAGAATAGGTTCCCAGTACCCATGCTTGTCTCCCAGAGTAGATTCCGGGATAGAATAGGTCCCCAGTACCCATACTTGTCTCCCAGAGTAGATTCCGGGACAGAATAGGTTCCAAGTACCCATACTTGTCTCCCAGAGTAGATTCCGGGATAGAATAGGTCCCCAGTACCCATACTTGTCTCCCCGAGTAGATTCCGGGATAGAATAGGTTCCCAGTACCCATACATGTCTCCCAGAGTAGATTCGGGGACAGAATAGGTCCCAGTACCCATACTTGTCTCCCAGAGTAGATTCCGGGATAGAATAGGTTCCCAGTACCCATACTTGTCTCCCAGAGTGGATTCCGGGATAGAATAGATCCCCAGTACCCATGCTTGTCTCCCAGAGTAGATTCCGGGATAGAATAGGTTCCCAGTACCCATACTTGTCTCCCAGAGTAGATTCCGGGATAGAATAGATCCCCAGTACCCATGCTTGTCTCCCAGAGTAGATTCCGGGACAGAATAGGTTCCCAGTACCCATACTTGTCTCCAAGAGGAGATTCCGGGACAGAATAGGTTCCCAGTACCCATACATGTCTCCCAGAGTAGATTCCGGGATAGAATAGGTTCCCAGTACCCATGTTTGTCAAAGCAAACCAGTCCACCAGTGTGTGAACCCAGGTCAGTCAATGCACAGGCCCCTGCAATAAACAAACAAAGAAGTTCAAGTCCACAAGTCAACACTGTCTTCAATGAGTCCCTACGTTGCCTGATAAACAAACTTGATTGTTGATGATGCAGCTGTCACTCCAATCCATCCCCTGACTCACTCACTCACTCACTCACTCTGTTGCAGGCCGATGTGGATCCGAGGGTCGCTGCTACGACTTGCCTGGACCGACTGGTTTCAACTGCATCTGCCCGGTTGGACGTGTGGGGACAGCGTGCGAGCGATGTAAGACAATGTAGCAGTTACCTGGTCTCACGGCGATCGTAGCGCTACGACCATCATAAGTCTATGTTAAGTATTGGAGTTACTGCGAGCGATGTAAGACAATGTAGCAGTTACCTGGTCTCACACAGCGATCGTAGCGCTACCACCATCATAAGTCTATGTTAAAGTATGGGAGTTACTGCGAGCGATGTAAGACAATGTAGCAGTTACCTGGTCTCACACAGCGATCGTAGCGCTACGACCATCATAAGTCTATGTTAAGTATTGGAGTTACTGCGAGCGATGTAAGACAATGTAGCAGTTACCTGGTCTCACACAGCGATCGTAGCGCTACGACCATCATAAGTCTGTGTTAAAGTATGGGAGTTACTGCGAGCGATGTAAGACAATGTAGCAGTTACCTGGTCTCACACAGCGATCGTAGCGCTACGACCATCATAAGTCTATGTTAAAGTATGGGAGTTACTGCGAGCGATGTAAGACAATGTAGCAGTTACCTGGTCTCACACAGCGATCGTAGCGCTACGACCATCATAAGTCTATGTTAAAGTATGGGAGTTACTGCAAGCGATGTAAGACAATGTAGCAGTTACCTGGTCTCACACAGCGATCATAGCGCTACGACCATCATAAGTCTATGTTAAAGTATGGGAGTTACTGCAAGGGATGTAAGACAATGTAGCAGTTACCTGGTCTCACACAGCGATCGTAGCGCTACGACCATCATAAGTCTGTGTTAAAGTATGGGAGTTACTGCGAGCGATGTAAGACAATGTAGCAGTTACCTGGTCTCACACAGCGATCATAGCGCTACGACCATCATAAGTCTATGTTAAAGTATGGGAGTTACTGCGAGCGATGTAAGACAATGTAGCAGTTACCTGGTCTCACACAGCGATCGTAGCGCTACGACCATCATAAGTCTATGTTAAAGTATGGGAGTTACTGCGAGCGATGTAAGACAATGTAGCAGTTACCTGGTCTCACACAGCGATCGTAGCGCTACGACCATCATAAGTCTATGTTAAAGTATGGGAGTTACTGCGAGCGATGTAAGACAATGTAGCAGTTACCTGGTCTCACACAGCGATTGTAGCGCTACGACCATCATAAGTCTGTGTTAAAGTATGGGAGTTACTGCGAGCGATGTAAGACAATGTAGCAGTTACCTGGTCTCACACAGCGATCGTAGCGCTACCACCATCATAAGTCTGTGTTAAAGTATGGGAGTTACTGCGAGCGATGTAAGACAATGTAGCAGTTACCTGGTCTCACACAGCGATCGTAGCGCTACGACCATCATAAGTCTATGTTAAAGTATGGGAGTTACTGCGAGCGATGTAAGACAATGTAGCAGTTACCTGGTCTCACACAGCGATCGTAGCGCTACGACCATCATAAGTCTATGTTAAAGTATGGGAGTTACTGCGAGCGATGTAAGACAATGTAGCAGTTACCTGGTCTCACACAGCGATCGTAGCGCTACGACCATCATAAGTCTATGTTAAGTATTGGAGAAAACACGCTCACGAGGTTTTGGTAGACAGAGCATGCCCTGGGGAGAGGGAAAAACCAAGGGGGCGAAGCCCTCGCGTTTTTTCCCGACCCTCAGGGCATGCTCTGTCTACCAAAACCGAGGGAAAGTGTTTTTCCATGCTTATAAACCAAAAAAAGAAACTTAAAACAACATTTTTCAACATTTTTATGTTTCGAACATACTTTCCATGAACCTTAGGAAACACGCATAAAATATCTGTTGCTGGCGTACGGATCTTGAAAAGAACATTCTAAAAACCAGTGAGGCTTATCAACACCTCTGTAGCCTCACTTTACACTCACTGGGCTACAGATATGAAGGTTGCGAGTTCGATCCTCGGGAATATAAAGAAAACATTTGTCATTTGATTTTACATTTCATTACATGTTACAATCTGAATGGAAGTTATATTAATAAAATACCCAGGACATTATATAAAATCCCTGGGATATTATATAAAATTCCAGGGACATTACAACGTCCCTGTTTATGAGATTTAACCCGACTGGAAAGTAAAACCTCACAATAGGTTTTAATGCCTATAGAAAGAAGTCTCTTACTTAATAGCGATCCCAATGAATAGGTTTATAAAGTATGGGAGTTACTGGGAGTTATGGGAGTATGGGATCGCTTTGTGGAACGGAGGGCCTTGGTTTCACAGGGAATGTTTGAGAGCCAATGAAATGATCTTGATTATTTTGATTGACTTCAATCAAGTTTGCTAGGACAGCCTGTAAACCAAATCTGGCTGGTCCCCTTAAAGTGCTTTAAAAATGTGATTTGAGTATTTTTTTTAAAAGAATTAATTTTTTGGTTTCATTGTTGAATATTCATGACATTCTGGAATACAAACACATTCACAGTGTTATTGTACCAATACATGGGGAACTTGATGATATAGATAGTCACGCATATGCTGCCATTATGACTCCCTTCGATTAGGCTATTGTAACCATTGACCTGGGTTATGTTTCATATCAAATATAGACCTTCCTCACTCACACATCCAAATGTGTATGCTTTCTGCAGATGTCGACATTATCGACCCGTCGTTCAACAGGACATCCTTCATTTCCTACCCAACCATCCAGGACGGATTACTCCAGGTGCAGATGAGCCTCATGTTTAAACCCCGCTCCCTTGACGACGGCCTCATCCTCTACAACGCACAGCAGCAGGACGGCCGCGGCGACTTCATGGCCATCATGATCAAAGATGGCTACCTCGAGTTCCGCTTTGACACCGGATCAGGTGAGAACATAATAACCGGCACTCGATCCAGCAGATGTTATGATGAACGAATTGTTCAATGTAATGAATCTTTTTCTCTATGGTGCCGGGGCGGGCGGGTAGCCTAGTGGTTAAAGCGTTCGCTCGTCACGCCAAAGACCCGGGTTCGATTCCCGACATGGGTACAATGTGTGAAGCCCATTTCTGGTGTCCCCCGCCGTGATATTGCTGGAATATTGCTAAAAACGGCGTAAAACCATACTCACTCACTCTATGGTGGCTTTGTCAACTATGATCAGTGCCACATCAAGAACATATATTGCCAGCGGACATTTATCTCGTCCAGTGAAAGTGAGCACATGCATGTGGAATAACTTTTTAGTTATTCAAAGAAATTAACTTACTTATTTAGGGTCGAGTGAGTGAGTAGGGTTTTACGCCGCTTTTAGCAATATTCCAGCAATATCACGGCGGGGGACACCAGAAATGGGCTTCACATATTGTACCCATGTGGAGATTTGAACCCTGGCCTTCGACGTGATGAGTGAATGCTTTAACCACTAGGCTACCCCACCGCCCTTTGAGGTCGAGATGATCACTTTTAAATGTTAGGGTTAGGGTAAGTTGAGCGAACAAGGCTTGTTTTGCAGTGAATGAGACCCGTGAAGACCCGGGATAGAATAGGTCTTCAGCAACCCATGCTTGCCGCAAAAAACGACTACGCTTGTCTTAAAAGGCCACTAACGGGATCGGGTGGTCAGGCTCACTGACTTGGTTGATGCATGTCATTGTATCCAAGTTGTGAAGTTCGATGCTCATGATGTCAGTCACTAGATTGTCTGGTCCAGACTCGATGATTTACAGACCGTCGTCATATAGCTGGAGTGCGGCGTTAACAACAAACAAACAATATCTCTATAAACACAAAACATATTGAAGTCTTAAAGTATTGAAGTATTTCAAACAAGAATCACTCCAATGCTCCTTACCCTTCACCACTTCACCCTTCACCTTCTGCATTTAGGACCCGCTGTCTTGAGGAGTCGCAACCCTCTGCGTCTTGACGACTGGACAATGGTTGTCGCGGAGAGGAAGGGCAACGAAGGGATGCTGATTGTCAACAACGAAGACCCTGTTAACGGTAAGTCTGGCCATTTAGTAGTTGGTATATAACAAGGAGGTCAAATAGTGTGCTAATTCTTCGTATTCTCCAATACTCAAATTCTTGGCCTGACATTACATGGTCGATAATCATGGTCGATAATCTGTATTCATTGTCTTTGAAATTGAAATCGTAATTTAACATAAACCTACTTAACAATAGATACTTCTGTGTAAAGAATTGTCAGATTTTTGTTCAATCACTGTTTGACCTCAAGACGTTTGACATAAACCTTATTTTCAGGGTTGTGTTTTGTAGCTAGTGTTGAAGCTTCCCCTAGCTAGGGCAGACCCTATTATCCCCTATTCCAAGTTAAACCCTTTTCAACTCCGCCCTACCCTGAGTTCATGTAGACAGGACTCTACATATAGCCTTAAGTCCTTTAGAACGTGAGGATAGTTGTCTTCATGACAAGTTTATAACTAATAGTCTATGCTTTGCATGACTGCTCAGTAACGAAGTTGGAATCTTTCAAATGGGGTATTCTTGATGATGTCGCTGTTGTGTTGAAATTCTTGAATCATGTGCCTTTGGCTCGGCAGAAAGCCTAAACCTGCTTGAGATTTCGGTAGGTAATTCTTTAACAAAACAGGACATCTTTCCGCAGGAAGTCGCAATAATACATTGCTGGGCTCAGTGGATAAGTGACTGGTTGGAAATCTCTTTGTCAAATACTGTTCAATTAATAATGTTTGGCGACAACTAGTTAATTAATTATTCTCCGGAAACTGTTGCCTCTTTCTTTTTAAAACAAATCCAATGAATCTGTGTGTGACTCATAGTCCATTGCCGGCAGCATCTTTATAAAAAAACTATAATGTCAACACTTGGCTTGTCTTAAAACAGATATGATGCAATTTGTTATAAAACATCAACAGGAATATTTTAGAAAGATTTTGTTATTACGAAACAAGGGTGTCCATTAACTCCAAGTTTTCAACTAACTGGAAACACAAAAAACAAATAATTAATCTGTTGTGGCCTGACGTTAAATTCTATTTTAATATTAAGCAACATTTTTGTAATTTTATAATAATTGTTTTTTTTAGATTTTCGTATTTATATTAAGATTTCTGCTTTCATAATAAGATTTCTGTATTCATATTGAGATTTCCATCCTTCTCTGGTGCATGATTGTTGCATAAATGCATTTAGGGTTTTCAGATAAGAATATCTTGTAATGTTTATATGCTTTGTAGAGTGTTAATTTAAAGTGATAAATTTACGTATTAGTTTTGAAGATGTTAGTTTGATGGAACTATACATAGACTCCATGTTGTGTTGTATAGCTCACTCCTTCTTTCAGCCACCCTTGTAGGGATTCTGGGGCCACGTAGGGTCCGTGCTTGTCAGAATAGACGACAAATATGGGGATCGGGTGGTCAAAATGGCTGCTAGGTCTTGGATGGTAGACCACCTCACGAACCATCTCATTATGCCCCCAGTCGCAATGTATATCCTCACACAATAGATTCTGATGCCAATAAGGGTCTACGCTTGTCAGAATAGACGACAAATATGGGGATCGGGTGGTCAAAATGGCTGCTGTGTATCAGGACCATGGATGGTAGACCACCTCGCGAACCATCTCAGCATGTGTCCTACAGCACTGTAGGATGCTCCCACTATCGACCACCTGACTGTGATATTGCTGACTAGGGATTAAAACCCCACTCACTCACTCACTCACTCTCCCTTCCTCCAGCAAGTGTAAGTCATCTGTTTCATGGATGGTTGATTAGGCGACTATCCTTTCCATGATTTTATTTTCTACCGCTGCAGAACGCCTTAGGAATAGCTACGACTATTACGCCTACTATTCTAGACGGGATCGTGGTGATATTTATAACAGAGGTATCTTTTTTAAATTTCACTGGCCAAAAAACGAGTCAATATTTTTGATTTTGCTGCTTCATTTATTTTCTTTTTCTGTCCACGTCACTGTCACTTATGTTCCGTCATCTGAGATTTTTTCGTTTCGCTTCACTTCTAATATCCCTATGTTCTGTGTTATGCAGTGATGGGCAATTCAAGGTAGCATCTCACTCCTTCCAGATTATCTCCCTTTGTGCCCTTGCCCTTGACATTCAGCACAAACAGGGAACGTCAGTGGTATCTGAAATGAGTGAGATCGTAACAGCTCAAGCACTTTGTGTCATACAGAATATAGCCAAGCTGCTAGATATTCTCGACTTCTTTGTTTACTAAGGCTTATGTGTCGCTTATTCATCACCAATCTGTCGTTGTCCCTTTGTCCTGGTGCATCATGAAGATGCTGAAGTGGGGATGTCTGTCACCCATCACTCATGTTAGGTTGCAGCAGTAACACCTTCCCACCATCTCATTCCTTCATCAGTGGTAAACAGTCCCAGCCTAATGGATGGACTAGTCCACTGATGTCAACATGTCACATTTGTCGAGACAAGATAAAATGATGTGAATTGCATGAGGCCATTATTAAAGGTTTCTTGAAACCATCGCCATGGAAGCTGTTACTATTTCTACAAGATTAATCAAACGTTTGCAAAATGGTGATGTTTTTTATTGAAAGTTTTTATTGATGTGACCATTTACCATAGACAGTTGCCATGGTTACAGTATTATTCATGAGCACTAAAAAGTATTTTGGAAAAATTTATAGTGAAGAATCTGATTTATGGTTATTGTAATTAAATATGAAGCCTGAACATTTTGGAAAATGAAATATTTCTCTTTCTGTAAAACCTGCTGTACACGATTGACAAATATTCATCAAACCTTTCATCTTGGCCTAAAACAATCTGTACTTGGAAACAGGGCTATTGATAATATTACAAAATCATATTATATAAGTGCATGCATGACACATAAATACAGGAAACAAAACAATGGGAAAAGGAAAAGTACTAATACAGTCCCATCATTCATTATTCTTATATCAGGATTCCGACTAACACATGCCAGATGTTGTACTTATTGTATGGGCACACTGCATAGATCTACATAAGCTGTATGGTGTGTTATTAACCTGCATGGAATACGCTTGGCATGTCTATGTTATATGTGCATTGCTTGCTACTTGTTAGTTGCTAAGTTGTTATATCTCTTACATCATACAGGATTAAAGGGCTAAATTTTATTTTAATGATTTCAACCCCGCTTTCATGTCCAGAATCAGTGTGAAAACCCACATGTGATTGAGGTGACTAAAATGGAAATGAATATTAATTTATCAGTTGACCACACTGACCAGTTGTGACCCATCTGTGCCTGCTTTTTACAGCATGGCTGCCGACACTCCCGTGATGGTTTGACTGGTCCAGGCTTGAACGCTTTGTGAATGGCTTCTAGCTGTGATATTGCTGACTGTCATGTTGACCAACCACATGTAGACTTTGTGACGACAACAGTGGCCTTGTGTAGCAACTCCTGAGTGTAGTTGGTTCCTGGTGCTAGACATGTAGATGAACACTTCTCCCATCGGGTCATACTAGTTTCACTGTGTTTCTCCTTGACCCATCTGATACTTTATTCTCATCGTCAACACAGTCCTCTCATCTGGATGTCATATGTACTTTCAACTTTTTTATCAAAAATATTTTATTTTAAAACTACTTTGATCCAAGATGTTATATTTCCGAATAAATTTATTTCATCCAAGCTAGGAATGTTTCAAATTTATTTCATCCAAGCTAGGAATGTTTCAAATTTATTTCATCCATGCTAGGAATGTTTCAAATTTATTTCACCCAAGCTAGGAATGTTTCAAATTTATTTTATCCAAGCTAGGAATGTTTCAAATTTATTTCATCCAAGCTAGGAATGTTTCAAATTTATTTCATCCAAGCTAGGAATGTTTCAAATTTATTTTATCCAATCTAGGAATGTTTTAAATTTATTTCATCCAAGCTAGGAATGTTTCAAATTTATTTGAGCACATTTTTTATGTTTTCATTATTTTGGGCAGTTTAGTGTAAAACTGATGTGTGGGATTTTTTTAATAAATTTGTTAAATGTTGTAGATATTGTACTTCACCTTGATTTTATTGTACTTATTGTATTCATTTGTATTTATTGTACTGGCATGTTGACTGTGCATAAACTGGCTTTTGCTGTTGCTGCTGCTGTTGCTGTTGCTGTTGCTTCGCTTGCTATAGATGGCTTGTTCTGGTGCCAGGCTCTGCACTGCCACACCACTCAATATCTTCTCCTTTGAACACGTTACATGGTGCTGGAGTATTATAGAATACAGTGAACATTTACATGAGAATACTCAAATAGAAAAGGTTTTATCCTTTCAAACAATTTTGTTTTAACAAGTTTGAGAAAAATTTGCGTCTTGAAAAAATTCTGTAATGTTTATAAGACACTTACATTTTTCAAAATTGTCATTAAGGAAGAAATATTTCACAATTGATCAGAAAAACTGTTTTGGAAGTTAATGTCTCAAAACATAAAAAAATCAAAATTTGGATTTGGCATTAAATAGACCATGACAAGGTCAAAAAAATTATATATGACGATTTACTTGATAGACAAAGCTCACTGTATTCATACATTTGAATGTTTTGAATTATAAGTATATATTGTTATGAATGGTAAAGGTTTAATATATACACATGTAACAGTTAATATAACGAAATGATGGAGAAATTCAGTATTGAAATTGAATAAACACTGGCTATGCTTGAGGTCATTAAATTGTATAAAAGGAGGAAAATACAAATTTGAAATTAAACTGGAACTTAATTTCAGATTTGAGACAAATAGTATCATAAGTTTTATTGGGACTTGAGTAGTCGTTAGGAAAGTGTTTTTATGTTAGAGGATTATGGATGATGTTTCTTCCAGGAACCGCATCTGGCCGTACAATCGGGCTGAACCTGAAGCGCCCCCTATATCTGGGTGGAGTTGATCCACAGGAAGTGCTACCTGCGTCTGCTTTTGTTGGAGAAGTTCCCGGATTTGTTGGATGTATCGGCGAGGTTTGTTTCATCATATGCCAGAAAATATTAAGGGAGGTAACTCCAGATGAAGGTCACTGAGAACTGCTGAAACGTATTCAACATGGGATTGTTATTTACGATGGATGCCCTGTTGGGACCCGAGTTTGAATATGTCCTCAGTTCACTTTTACTCATCTTAAGGATCACGCAAGACTTGGAGACTAAGTGGCTCAGTCATTGACGGAGTCACCTTCTAGAAAACTATTGTGGGTTTGAATTAGGATTCGCCCTGTTTCTGTTTCTTGGTTTGTCATCTCCCTACCTGTGTTCACGTGTTCACCAAACGTCTAAGACCTGCATCACTTCAGGCTTTCCTCCCACATCAAGATGACTTCCGTGATATAACGGAAATACTGTTCAAAGTGGTGTTAAATCAAACTTGCCCACATTCATGAACATGGTTGAGCCAAGAGCAGAGTTTGTCCACGTCATCCATTTATAATGTTTCCTTGTCTTTGTTCCAGATGGATATATCAGTCAGGAAACTAATTTTATTATTCTTATTTTTTCTCAGCTGAGGATCAACACAAACAATATCGACCTATTGAAGGACGCTATTGAGAGTGCTAACGTATACGACTGCGGCGACCGCGGCATCTGTGACAGGAAGCCCTGTCAGAATGGAGGCGACTGCCAGGAGACTTCCCTCACCGACTATCGCTGCATTTGCCCTCCGGATTACACAGGTAGGTTCTTGGTCATGGTCACTAAAACATCCCTACCTAGGAGTCCCAGACATATAAGGCTAGAGGACAGAAATATAGGCCTGTAGGCTGACATTATGGCCTCCAGGGCAGAAATATTTGCCTCCAATGCAGAAATATGGCCCGCCAATGCAGAAATATGGCCCTCCAATGCAGAAATATGGGCCACCAATGCAGAAATATTGCCCTCCAATGCAGAAATATGGGCCTCCAATGCAGAAATATTTGCTTCCAATGCAGAAATATTTGCCCCTAATGCAGAAATATTTGCCTCCAATGCAGAAATATGGTCCTCCAATACAGAAATATTGCCTTCCAATGCAGAAATATTTGCCTCCAATTCAGAAATATGGGCCTCTAATGCAGAAATATGGGCCTCTAATGCAGATATATTGGCCTCGATGCTCATGGTATCAATGACTTGATTGTCTGGTCGATTATTTATTGTCACCATCATATAGCTGGAATATTGCTGAGTGTGTCATTAAACAACAAACAAACAAAGACTTATGATAGTCGTCAGACTAATGTTGTTTTGTGGAACAGGGCCCCGATCAGATCACCGACATCACTGCACTTTATAATGTTAATTTATCTTGTCCCCCACCATGCATGGTTGCAATGTTGATGGAGCAACAGTGAAATCATTCTCTCACTTGTCCAGGCAAGAGCTGTGAGACTGAAATCAACATCTGCATCACGTCTTCACCCTGTCAGAACGGAGGCCGCTGCAGCGTCTACAATGGTGGCTACAGGTGTGACTGTCCTCTGGGATACTTCGGGACAAGCTGTACTACAGGTATGTTCGTCAACAGCTCTTCATTAACACAGTCGGTTGAAATGAATCCTTGCAACTTATAGGATGCTCTTTGATCAGGCTTGGTGATGTGGTTGATGGATTTCATCATATCAAAGTATGCGTGGATCCTTGCTCATGCTGTCAATCACTGGATTGTCTGGTCCAGACTCAATCATGTACAGACGTCTGTCATATAGCTGGAATATGCTGATTGTATGGCATCATACTGAAACAGTAGGCTGGGACAGGTCACTCAGGTACTGGGATCGGGTGGGTACTGAGTCAGACCCGGGTACCCGCAGGACTACCCTGACCCGGGTACCCGCAGGACTACCCTGACCCGGGTACCCGCAGGTCTACCCTGACCCGGGTACCCGCAGGACAACCCTGACCCGGGTACCCGCAGGATTACCCTGACCCGGGTACCCGCAGGACAACCCTGACCCGGGTACCCGCAGGACTACCCTGACCCGGGTACCCGCAGGACTACCCTGACCCGGGTACCCGCATGACAACCCTGACCCAGGTACCCGCAGGACTACCCTGACCCGGGTACCCGCAGGACTACCCCGACCCGGGTATCCGCAGGACTACCCCGACCCGGGTACCCGCAGGACTACCCCGACCCAGGTATCCACAGGACTACCAGGACCCGGGTACCCACAGGACTACCCGGACCCAGGTACCCGCAGGACTACCCGGACACGGGTGCCAACAGGACTACCCGGACCGTGGTTAGTCCCATGGTTTATTGTTTAATGACAACTATTGAGGACACCCCGGTTACACTATGAATCACAAATGTTCACTTTTCATTCTCACTTTGCACACATTCCTTCGGACATTAATATGTTTGAGTAAAGACAAAGCTTCGTCACTGGAAGTAATAGAAGCGATCCAAAATGTGTTATTGTTGATATAAATGAATGATTAATAATGCGAACAAAGACCACTCGCATTTTTCGCATTTAATTCACAGTCGCGTTAATTTCAAGATTTGCAGTATTCAAAACAGGTTTGTAGGAATGTATGAGTGAGTTTACATTTGGCATCTTATTTCTCCATCTTTTTCAGAAATTGAGGTGCACACATCGTTTGAGGTGACCGGTGATGGGTATGTGGAGTTCCCTAAGCAGCTGCTGCCCCACAAGGGCCGCCAGACCGGGGAGTCCTTCGAGATGACGGTGAAGACGGTCGAGTCTAATGGCCTGCTCTTCTGGCAGGGCCAGGAGCCGACCACCTCACTCCGCGGCGGGGACTACGTGGCCCTTGTTCTTGAAGATGGCTTTGTAGAATTTAGGTAATGACCTTGGCAACGTCCCTAGGGGAGGCTGGGTGGGAGGGGGACCCAGTGACCCATCCTCGTCATTAGACGACTTAATGGGTCAGATCGTTAGGTGTCTTGGTTGACTGATGGTCGGGGTTATGCTGCTTCTATCAATCACTGGATTGTCTGGTTCAGACTTTGACAGGCTGTAGTCAGTAGCTGGAATATTGCTGAGTGTGATGTTAAACAACAAACAACAAACAAAACATAGGTTACATGGAAGATTCATGTTCGAGGCAGCTACTTTGGATATAAATCGTGACAGTTAAATACTGTTTCCAGCCAAATCAAATGATGTATAGGACCACATGCATGGTCACACATGAATAAATCTCTAGAGAGACCTTAAAGACCTTACCTTCTCATTTGGACCTTGATTGGTTGTCTTTAGAGGTGACTAACTTGGATTGAGTGGTACTTACTTATGGTATTCATTCATTCAATCATTTGGTATGATCCTGTCCAATATTGTCTGCATGTTTCATTCATTCATTCATTCTGATTCTGTACAATATTCTCTGTGTGTCTGTTTCATCCATCCATCCATCCATCCATCCATCCATCCAACCAACCAAACAACCCATCCAACCAACCAAACAACCCATCCATCCACCCAAACAACCCATCCATCCACCCAAACAACCCATCCATCCACCCAAACAACCCATCCACCCAAACAACCCATCCACCCAAACAACCCATCCATCCACCCAAACAACCCATCCATCCACCCAAACAACCCATCCATCCACCCAAACAACCCATCCACCCAAACAACCCATCCATCCATCCATCCATCCATCCATTCTGATCCTGTCCAATATAGTCTGTGTGTCTGTTTCATCCATCCATCCATCCATCCATCCATACATTCTGATCCTGTGTGTCTGTTTCAGGTACGAGTTAGGTAGTGGTGAAGCTGTTATAAGATCTACTTCACAAATTGATGATGGATTTTCACACAAAATCATAGCTCAGAGGTAAGTCCCTTCCTTATAGCAGTAACAATAGCTCCGTGTCACAAATATCTCACTTCAATGACATTGTCCACAAGAATATAAACTGACCTTCAGTGGGAGGATTCTTAGTGAATATGGAACCTTATGACAATATAATGTGCAGATACAAAATCACAAAGTCATTTGTTTAAACCCAAAGATGCCAGTTGGTGCAATCTCATTAAAATCAGATCTTAGTTCTCGCTACCACAAAACAAAGATCTGAGGACATCACAGTAGGGGTCACGTCAGATGGACCTTTCATCCGACCAATCAGAGCGTCGCTTACCAGATCCTGAAAGTGACAGTCGGAATGTGATTTCTAATCATGCATCCTCGAAAACTTTTTACACAGGGTATTCCGAACGATAGTTATGGGGTTAACGACTGAATCGATACAATCTAGATCATATATTAGCCATTCCAGAATGTTCTTTTGTTCAGGTTACAAATTTTTAATCGAGAATTTGTCAAAATATGTTTCGAAGCGTAGTCGCCAATTTGAAATTAGTGCCGTAAAGCATGTGTAAGCTGCCTTCTGATTGGCTAATGTCGACTTCTTGTCAGTCACTCCATTGGTTGACCAAAGTTCGCGCAAGGTCGGTCTGACATGACCCGTAATGGGATGTCCTCAGATATTTATTTAGCGGTAGGGAGAACTAAGATCTGATTTTAATGAGATTGCCAATTGGTGCTACTACGTGACAGAACTTCACTCATATAACTTTCATGTGCCCAGTTAAATGGGATGGTACCGTTCCCACTAAATCATGACATGTAAACTTATCATTACAGTCGTATTATTAGCCGTTCCTAATGATCTGAGAAGCAGAGTTTGGGACAGAGTTTCAATGTACATCTAAGCTGAGAAATAAAATGGCCATTTCTTTTTCTTTTCCTAATTTAACCATGCTCTGTTTCCAGGCTTGGCCGAACAGGAAATCTGACTGTTGATGCTGGCCCCCCAGTGATTGGTGCTTCTGTCGGACCTCTCCAGGTCCTCAACGTCAAGGGCAATATTTACTTGGGTAAGTGACACATGCTTGTCTCCTGTAGATACACACACACACACTTGCGCGCACGCACACACGCACACACACACACACACACACACACACACACACACACACACACAAACACACACACACACACACACACACACACACACACACACACACACACACACACACACCACTCACACCACACACACCACACACACCACACACCACACGCCACACACACACAGAGGGTGAGAATAGGTCTTCAGAGTACAGTGATTGACGTTGCTCATAATATCAATCATCAATTGTCTGGATTGTCTGGTGATGCCAGGAACCGCTGTTTCTCCGACTATGTTCCTTTGCCCGGGTTTAGCCACCCCCAATGGAAAACATGAAGTCCAGTGTCACCGGTGCCTCTTTCTCCCATATGGATCACATGCCATCATGCAGTTTTACTTTTCCGGGGTGGATCCAGGATTTAAAAAAAAGTGGTGATTACATTGGGCCATTTGTAACTTCAGTGTGAGTGTGTTGGTGTGGGAGTGGGGTAGGGGTCCCAAACACTATATGTCACTATATGTCAACAATAATTAATGTTATGATGGTAGGCAATGCACATACAAAATGTCTCCAGATGGAAAAAGCGGCGTGGTGGCCACCCCTAGAACGCCCCGTCTAGATCCACCACTGCTTTTCACAGGATCAGGTGGTCTGGCTCGCTGACTTGGTTGATCCAGTCATCGTATCCCAATGGCTTAGATCGATGCTCATGGTGTCAGTCACTGGAAGTCCTTGATTATTTACAGACCGGCATCATATATCTGGAATATTGCTGAGTGTGCGTTTAACAACAAACATCACATCAAATCCTTCTTGGGCCAGTGGTTAAGTCCCAACTTAACAAACACTGAAGGATTTATTTATTTTATGTTTTTATGTTAAATTGCCTGGCCTGAAAATGCATCGTGATATTTGTAATGTTTCAGGTGGTCTTCCCGAGTTGGAAGGCATGACAGATGGAGCTGTGGAACACAATTTTAATGGCTGCATTCTTGATCTTAGGATACTAAACAAAGGACCCTTAGATGTGAAATCGGATGCCGTGGGTGGTTATAATGTTAGGCCATGTCTAGACGGTAAGAAATGATGAGGATGACTAAGTCTTTATGTGACATAATTTTAGGTATTTTCAAATTGTAGAACAGGTGAGAGCCCATGCTCTGATGCTCAGTCGAATGTTATTCTGTTGAAGAACTCGAAATGTTTTATCATAATATTGGCGGCATTTTATGACATGTATGTTTATTGTGGACCTCAATTTTATACTTTTTGTATTTCTTTTATGAATCCAATCAGCATTTTATAGTTTTAACATGCTTAATGTTCTTTTAATTATTGAATTTAAATACTTTGAAATAATGTAACTTTAATGAAATTAATAATTCAGGAGTAATGCTTGTTATGAACAAGACTATTAAATTTTAAGAATAATTTGAAACAATTAAACAGATTTAAGATCGCTATGGAAACATGCTAAACATATATTGTTAGATTCTGATATAGCTATTTATGACCTTTCAGTATATTGAGACACTGTTTATAGATATGCATAGAAACTGACTGTACATATTTCAGCGGTGTAGATTTAAGCAATGAAATGTATAAACTCATACAAACGTACCTGTCATCTGTTCAAATTATATTGTCACAAGTTGGCAAAATGTAATCCAATGTGGTTGGCTTTAAAAGCAAAATATTGTTAAGGCACACCTGGAATGGCATAAGCAAAATATCTACTCATCAAGTAGACAATAAGTGATTATTGTAGTGCATTGTTGAGTGAAAAAAATATTGTTTGAACATATGTGTTTTTGACATTGTTATTTTGCTTCTAAAGTTACCCGATGACAAGGCTTGTATAGGAGTCAGTATAGCAACCACTTGTAACGAAATCCTCACCAAGTCTAGATATTTTAATCATGTTATAATACTCTTTTCTCATGGTGCTAAATGACTGCTGGAAGACCCTAGCGGTCCTCAGATTTCAACTCTTTGTATATTTATAGCATAATTCCCTATTTGACTTAACCATATTTGTGTAATAAACGCCAGATAATCACTATATTGAATATTATTCAGTCTGGAATTTGAATTATAGAGTTTTGGAACTATGTATTTAACTCATGGTATTGTGTGTGATGATATACAATATCCCCCTGATGAGGAATATGTGATAATACACTATATGTCCCTGATGGTGATTATGTGATAACACACTATGAATCCCTGATGAGGAATATGTGATAATACACTATATCCCATGTTGGGGAATATGCAAAACTAAGGCGCTTATTATTAAAGATATGGTTGTCTGGATTGTAGAGTCCTATCCTCTTGATGTGTACTGTCATCAACTGTAGTTGTCTTTGTTATGTTAGGGATATACAATGCCAAATCCTGGGGTCGGCCCCTGTCTGCTTTTCAAGTGTTTTTGTGAGAAAAGCACTTGACCTTATGGTTCTGTTGAAGCATAATGTTTGAAACACAGAGGAAAGTCAACACTGTGATCTGATTCGAATAAACTTTTATAACAAAATATGGTCTTGTGTTTTCTTTCTTGTTGCACAAAATATGTTTTGGATGAAGTGTCGGCCCAGAGAGGTGAATGTTGGTAGTTCTCTCCCCTGCTTGTGCCATAAAAAGTTTTACTTGTTAACCTGTCTGGCATAAAATTGACAAAACGACAACTGGTGGACTCGAGGTCCGTATTCTGTGTCTAGGTGGGGTATCTATGTTAAACTGCGGCATGGTATCTCAGTGGGCTAGCACTATAAAATAAGCATAAGTCTGGACTAGTACAAGCAGCCACACACGTGCATGCACAGCTCTATATAAGTGCAATAATCTTGAACGGGACGTTAAACCCGTTTCACCATGTCTGTGTCCGTGTGGGAATCAAATCCGTGTGACGTGGTGAACACTTTACCCACGCGACTACCCTGATGCCCTTCACTGAGGAGACACATGGGCATCAGGCTTACTGATAACAGATTCTACATGTTTACTAATATCGGCCATTTCATGGCTGCTCGTGCCACTTCAATAGGATTAATAGTGTTATCATGTGATACCTAGTGCATTATGAGGGCAACGGGGTAGCTCTCTCCATGCTGAAGGCCTGGGTTCAATTCAATAGTGTCGATAATATACTCCAACCAACTGTAATACATCTCATATACAATAGTGCCGATAATGTACTCCAACCAACTGTAATACACCTCATATACAATAGTGCCGATAATGTACTCTAACCAACTGAAATACACTTCATATACAATAGTGCCGATAATGTACTCCAACCAACTGTAATACACCTCATATACAATAGTGCCGAAAATGTACTCTAGCCAACTGCAATACACTTCATATACAATAGTGCCGATAATGTACTCCAACCAACTGGAATACACTTCATATACAATAGTGCCGATAACGTACTCCGACCAACCCCAATACACCTCATATACAATAGTGCCGATAATGTCCTCCAACCAACCGCAATACACTTCATATAAAATAGTGCCGATAATGTACTCTATCCAACTGTAATACACCTGAAAGACAATAGTGCCAATAACGTACTCCAACCAACTGTAATACACTTCATATACAATAATGCCAATAATGTACTCCAACCAACTGTAATACCACCTCATATACAATAGTGCCAATAATGTACTCCAACCAACTGTAATACATCTCATATACAATAGTGCCGATAATGTACTCCAACCATCTGTAATACACCTCATACACAATAGTGCCGATAATGTACTCATCCAACTGTTATACACTTCATATACAATAGTGCCGATAATGTACTCTAACCAACTGTAATACACCTCATATACAATAGTGCGATAATGTACTCTAACCAACTGTAATACACCTCATATACAATAGTGCCGATAATGTACTCCAACCAACTGTAATACACCTCATATACAATAGTGCCGATAATGTACTCCAACCAACTGTAATAAGCCTTATATACAATAGTGCCGATAATGTCCTCACCCAACTACAATCCACTTCATATACAATAGTGCCAATAATGCACTCCAGCCAACTGTAATACACCTCGTATACAATAGTGCCGATAATGTCCTCACCCAACTACAATCCACTTCATATACAATAGTGCCAATAATGCACTCCAGCCAACTGTAATACACCTCATACACAATAGTGCCGATAATGTACTCATCCAACTGTTATACACTTCATATACAATAGTGCCGATAATGTACTCTAACCAACTGTTATACACCTCATATACAATAGTGCGATAATGTACTCCAACCAACTGTAATACACCTCATATACAATAGTGCTGATAATGTACTCTAGCCAACTGTAATACACTTAATGTGCAATAGTGCCGATAATGTACTCCAACCATCTGTAATACACCTCATATTGCCGATAATGTACTCCAACCAACTGTAATACACCTCATATACAATAGTGCCGATAATGTACTCTAGCCAACTGTAATACACTTAATGTGCAATAGTGCCGATAATGTACTCCAACCAACTGCAATACACTTCATATACAATAGTGCTGATAATGTACTCCAACCATCTGTAATAAACCTCATACACAAAAGTGTCGATAATGTACTCCAACCATCTGTTATACACCTCATATACAATCGTGCCGATATGGTCCTCCAACCAACCCCAATACACTTCATATACAATCGTGCTGATAATGTCCTCCAACCAACCCCAATACACTTCATATACAATCGTGCCGATAATGTACTCCAACCAACCCCAATACACTTCATATACAATCGTGCCGATAATGTACTCTAACCAACTGTAATACACCTCACATACAATTGTGCCGATAATGTACTCCAACCAACTGTAATACACTTCATATACAATAGTGCCGACAGTGTACAGGTGCTTTACTTTCCTTGCCTTTGCTCTCTCAACTGTACTTTATATTTCCATACAGTTCCGTCACTCGTTCTCCACCTTTAAATAAAAAAAACCAACACATTCACCAAATCTCTGCAAAGTAAAGGCTTTTTTCATTTTCTTCGATGAAGTGGGATTAATATCGTCACATTCCACCAACTTCATGACATAGTCGTGTAGGATTCCCGTCACTAAATTTAAGTGACATCTGTGACAACGGACTTACAATGATTTTATATTGCTTACATTAATGTGATATGTTTTTCAAATACAGAGTCAGGGTGAGATTGGTGATGTAGTGGAATTTTGAAGTTGAAGCGCTAATAAAATCAGGAATACGCGCTGAATTTGAGAGTGAAATCTGACGTTCTGCGGGTGAATTTTCTCTTATTAACTGTTTGTGGAATTAATACATATTTACATAATATTTTATAAACCGTTATCACGTAACCTCAAAAGGTTGTTTGAATGCGATAGGGGGACGAGTCATCTTGCAGGTTACGGAAAGGGGCGAGTGGTGACGAATGAAGACAAATGGTGCATCTCGAGTCATGGATCTATGACGTCACATGTGATGCGTCCACGGACCTCAGTTCACACAACGTGCCAGTATGTTTGTTTGTACATCGAACCAATCTAATATCTCTTGAATATGATAAACTCTTCATATTTTAAAACATGTTTGGTATTCGAGTTTCTTTGTGCGTAAATGATGGAGTGTGAAGTTATTGTGTCATGTTCGTGAGAGGTGATCGTTTGGTCAGACTCGGTGCCTCGGTTGCTTGCTTCCTATCGCCATTCGTCACCAATGTGATATCGCGCCTATTGACAATCACTGAGACACGTGCTTTGTCATTCTTGTTATTCAAAGAAATGTACACATAACATGGAATTTTGTTGGTATAGGTGAGTGAGTTGTGTTTAACGCCGCTTTTAACAGTATTACAGTTATATCACGGCGTGTCAGCTTAATCTGGGAGGAAAGACGTTTACCACTTCGGTGAAACCCACGAGCACGGGTATGGTTCTGACAAACCTAGAAACATACTTTGGACTAACCGGGATTCGAACCAACAATCATAGGTTTCTGGCGTGCCCAAGGGACGCAACTCTGCAACGCAACTTAGACGACATGGCCACCCGTGCCCCCTTGTTGGTATAGGAAACCCTGACATTGGTGAGCATATTCGTGAGACATATTTATTCTGTACACCCCTGATAAGATGAAATGAGGGTCGCCTAAGAGTCGGGATGGGCTGGGCCAAGACGGGCCAACGTTCGTTGTGGATAGTTACTCCATTATCGACGACCATGCACGATCCGCTCGTTATTGATGCAACATGACCACGTGACATTATAAACATTGTTTGTTTAACGCCACACTCAGCAATAATCCAGCTGTATGACGGCGGTCTGTAATAATCGAATTTGGACAGATAATCCAGTGACTGACATCATGAGAATCGATGTACGCAATTGGCATACGATGACATGCATCACCCAAGTCAAACCTGGCCACCCGATCCCGTTAGTCGCCTCTTACGACAAGCATGGGTTGCTGAAGACCTATTCTAACCTGGATCTTCACGGATGACATTATAAGCAATAACACACCACCAATTATACAAACGCTTAGTCTCTGAAAGTATATAATTCTGATAGAAACATATAAATCTATTTAAATTAAAAAGGAGCCCCAATGAGATGGGAGATTCAGTCCTGTAGATAATGGAGGTCTACTGGTGACGCATCATGAGCCATGATCCATGCATTGAGTGAGTGAGTGAGTGAGTGAGTATGGTTTTACACCGCTTTTAGCAATATTGCGTTCGCTCGTCACGCCGAAGACCCGGGTTCGATTCCCGACATGGGTACAATGTGTGAAGCCCATTTCTGGTGTCCCCCGCCGTGATATTGCTGGAATATTGCTAAAAGCGGCGTAAAACAATACTCACTCACTCACTCGTCTCTTTCCAAATATGTCTGTACGTGCGTTGCACCGTGCTTTTAAACCGAAACTCGACGAAATAAAATAACACATTGGTTTCTGATCATTCACGCAGGACTTAGTATATTGGGGGGCACGGGTGGCCCAGTCGTCTAAGGCGCCGCGATTCGCTATGCAGAGTTGCGTCCCTTGGGCACGCCAGAAACCTATGATTGTGGGTTCGAATCCGGGTTCGCCCCGATTATGTTTCTAGGTTTGTCAGCACCATACCCGTGCTCGTGGGTTTCACCGAAATGGTAAACGTCTAAGACCTGCATCACTTCGGGCTTTCCCCCCACACTAAGCTGACACGCCGTGAAATAACTGTAATACTGTTAAAAGCGGCGCTAAACCCAACTCACCCACTTAGTATATTGCTTAATTTTCAAATCATACACGATCAATCGTTCAGTGCAGGGTGATCTATCCACCAGACCACAGAGGAGGTCTTCAAACTGGCCCATTTCTGGTGTCCCCCGCCGTGATATTGCTGGAATAATGCTAAAAGCGGCGTAAAATCAAACTCACTCACTCACTCACTCTTCAAACGGAAATAAAGGGCACTACTTCATTATCGTCATTCAAAAATAGACCCATTTGTCGCCATCATTATGT